AAGTTTTCATTTTTTTTTATTTTATATAATAAATATTTTTTTTTTTTTTTTACAAAAATAATTTTTTTTATTTATTTATTAATTTTTTATTTTTATTTTTTTAAAAAAATTCATTATTTATTAGTAGAATTTTAAGACGAGTCTATTTTTTTAAATTATTATACAATTTTAGGACTTTATTGTTAATTTTTTTTTTTTTTTTTGATAATTGGACTATTTGATCTTTAAATTAATGGTAAAGCAGTTTAAATTTATCTTGGAGATTATTTTTAATTAGTAGTATTTTTATATTTAACAATTTTTATAGTTTTTAATTTAATTCCATCTTCTTCGTCTTTTTCATTTATAATGTTAATTTTTTTTAAAAAACTAATTTTAGATTCTTTTCTACTTTATTGCCCAGAATATGTTTCATTTAAATCCTATTTGCTTTTTTTTCTTTAAACTTTTAAATAAAAAGACCCTTTAATTGAATTTCGATTAGACATTCTATTTAACATTTAAACGTTATTAGGTGGCTATATATATTTTTTGAATAGATAATACATAGATGTATCTTTTTATGTAAGTTCTATATCTTTTTCAAGTTATTTAATATATTCTTCCTATAAAAAACCTTTTTTAATTTAATTATTTTAATATTTATCTTATTAATTTTCTAGTAATTTTTTATCTTGGCTTTATTTGGTGTTTTTTATTATTTTCTATTGTTTTATTAACTCATTTATTTCGATTTTCACATTTTATTTTTTTTATTTAAATTTATTATCTATATGGACTAAAAAATTAAGATTTTCGTCAGTTTTTTTTGTATTTTTTTTTGAATAAGGAGACAAACTTTTTGAAGAAAAAAAAAAGAATTTCCTAATAGTTTTTATTTTTAGTTTATATTTTTTATATTATTTCTAGTTTAATTTTAGTATATGATTTCATTATTATTATTAGTATTATTTTCTTTATTATATTTCTCAAGTTCTTTGCCTTTGTATAATTCGAATTTTTATATTTGCTTATTTTTGTAAAAACTCAAGTTTTTTAAACTACCTTTAGGGCTTAAATTAATACTTTCTAAACTAGAAATTTGACCAAAAACAGTTCTTAAAGTATTTTATATAGTAATTAAATATAAGGAAATTACATTTGTGTAATTTATATTTGCGGTTTCATATAGATTTTCGATTTTTTATAAAATTTAAATCTTTAAAAATTCCTCTTTTGTAAATTTTTAATCGTTTTAAAAATTTTAGTTGTTAAAAATATTTTCAAGGTCTTCTTTTATTTCAAAAAAGAAAATTAAAATATCTTTTTTTAAACAAAACTTGAGAATATTGAAGTTTTTATAAAAAAAGGAAAAAAAAAAATCTTTCACAACATCAAAGGAAGGAAAGAAAATTTCAAAAAGGTTTTTTAAAATTGAAAAAATGTCATTTTTTTAACAAAAAAGTTTAATTATTTAATCTATATTGGCATATTTTTCTATTTATTTATATGGATTAATTTCTATATAGACTTAAATTTATTCTCTTTGAAAAATTTAATTACTTAAATCAATAATAGCTTTTAATTCTATTTTTTATTGATAGATAAATTGTTCTAAAGTTTCATCTTTATTGAATTTCGAAATAATTCCAAAAAGTCTTAAAAATTTAAACAAAATTAAATTGATATTTTATTATAAAACTAAATACAATTAATTTATTTTATCTGAATTTATTAAATATTGCATTTCTTAATAATTTAAATGTTAAAAATATTCTTAATTATTACCATTATTATTTTCTTATATAAAAAATTCTCCTTTTTTTTCAAAATCATTTTTTTAATTCGAATCAATTTATTAATTCAAAAATTAAATTATTTCTAAATTTTCTTATATTTATTAGGAAATTGATTAAATTTTTTTTACCAAAAATTTTTAATTTTAATCCATTTATTTATATTCTATTATTAATTTATTTACTATATCATTTATATTATCTACTATATTTTAAAATTATAAATTATTTGTATTGTCAAATTCTAATTCTTATGTAGAATGCTCATTACTTAAATTTATTGTAGTAGAAATTTAAAATGATATTTCCTTTGAGATACTTTTGAAGTATTTTTCAGGATTTTTTTAAACGAAAATTTCATATATTGCACCTAACTTATGAATATCTTAAATTGTATATTTATATATACTATTGTCTTTTTCAAATATTTTTTATGAATTTTCTTATTTACTTTACTCAATTAATAATAAACTTTTATCTAAATTTATTTTCTATTAACTCAAATTTTGATCTTGCTATTTATAAGAAATTAGTGTATTATATAATTATTATTTCTATTATTATAGAATGAGTTGTTTTTTTTAATTTTTTTCATCGTGTTTTTTTTATAAATTTTTCATATTTTAAAAAATGCATTTTTTTTGAAAATTTGCTAAATATTTTTAAATAAGAACATTTTATTTATCTTCTTATATAATTTATATTGAAAAATCAAATTTGGAGTTTAAAAAATATAATTTTAATAGATTTTTTTCTAAGTTCTATTTTTAAGAATTTACTCTGTTTTTTATATGTTTTAAGGTTTGGGAATAAAACTGTTTGTCTTTTATTTCATTGAGTATATTTTCAATAGATTATATTTTATTTTCAAGTTTATTTTTTATTTTTTCTAAAGATTTATTTTCGCTTTTTTAAATATTTTTTTATTCATATATTTTTTCCCATTTTTCTAATTCTATTTTTTTTTATAAGTTATTTTCGCTGATCTTATTTAATAAATTTTTAAAACTTTTCTCTTTTTTTAATATTTCTTTCTCGATTTATGTTTCGATTTGGAATTGATTTTATATATTATTATATTTATTTAATTCTATTATTTATTCTTAAATATTTATTTTTTTAGGATTTTATGGAGGGGATTTATAATGGATACGTACACTTAATTTTAATTATGAACTTCTAGATAATTAGCTTTAAGTGCTATTTGATATATTTATATTCTCAACTTCTTCTTTTGGAAACATTTTATTTTTTTATTAAATATTAAGTTTTTTTTTAGTTTAAATTTTTTTATAAATGTTTTTTTATTTTTAATTAAAATAATAACTGAATTATTTTTATAATTTAAGGCTTTTATATTTTTTAAATAAAAAATAATTTTTTTTTTATTATTATAAAATATACTAATTAATGATATAAAGAAAAAAAATAAAAAGAAATTTTTGAAATTTTTTATATTTTAAATTTAGTAAATATCTATAATTTTGAAATAGAAAATATATTAAATATACATAAAAAATAAAGATATATTGTAGATATTAAAGACTCAAAAAATGCAAAATAAAATACTTGAATTATAAGTTATCGGATATATATTAAATAAAGACCTTACTGATCTTTAGCATTATTAAATAGAGGAGGATATAACTAATATACAATTGTTTATAAAGAAAATATAATTTAATTTAATTAAAAGAAAAATCTAATTTATTTGATTTAGCGCAAAGATTATTGAAGATTTTCTTACTGTCTACTAATTAATTAAATATATAGGAAATGTTTAAGAAAAATAAACTATTATTGTTTATGATGGTGTAAGTAGATTAGGAACTGCATCAATTTAATTAAGAAAAATTATTAGCGAATTAAGTTATTGTATATGCTTTTAGTTTAAGTAAAATTTAGGTTTGCAATTAATAAATATATATATTTTTTTATTTATTATTTTTTTTTTCTTCTTTTATTATTTATACTATTTATGTTTAAATTGTAAAGAAGATTAAAATTTAGAATAATATTTTTTTATATTTACTTTAGAAAAAGATGTTAATAATGTTTTGTATATACTCTTTCAAAGTTTTATAATTTATAAATAAAATTTTCGTTATTAATAATATTAATACATTCGTGATTTTTATTTTAAATAATTTGTAAATAATAATTAAGTATTAAATTTATATTTATTTATTAAGTATAAATATATAAATTATTAACTTTATGGCTATGATTATATCAAAAAAATATTATTTTTTTAAAAAAAATTAATAAAAATAATTCTCAATTAAATTTTTTATTTAAATTTTAAAATAATATATATATAATCTTGCTTTATTTTTAATATATTCATTGTAAATTTAATTAAATTAAAAAAAGCTAAATAAGATATAATTTTAAAGGAAAATTTTCTAGATTAATTCTAAAAAGTAAGGTGAAATTAATAAGTATTTAATAATTAATAAAAATAAATAAATAATATATAAATCATTTTTAAAAATTAATATATATATATATTGAGATATACATAATTCTCATATTAATTTTTGAGATTTTTTACTTATATATATAAAATTTAAACTTTCTATATAAATAAAATAGGTATTGTATAGTAAATTCTTTTTTATTTTATAACAAAAAAAATATGAAAACTATTTATAGAAGATATAAAAAAGCATAATAAAGTATTATTAATATTATAAAACATTTTAACTTATTATGATTACTATATATTTATGATTTCCCTCTATATTTATATAAAAAAAAAGATTATTATAATTCATAAAAGATCATATTTAAATTTTAATATTGTAAGTAGAAACTTATAACGTATTTATACATATTTTATTTGTTTTAACTTATATATAGAAAAAATATTTTAATATTTAAAAAAATATATTTGCTGTTTATATTTACAATTATTTCGATTAATTTAATTTGTTAATATATATATATTTATTTTAATTAAAATTTTTTAAACGCGATTATTATTTTTATAGCCAAAAATTAATTTAAATATTTATATATTTTTTAAAAAAATAAAAAGACATTAAGTCTAATTTAATTATTAAAAAAATAAAAATAAATAATTAAATATAATAAAAGTATAAAAATATATAAAATTTATATTTATAAAATTATTAATTATATTTTAATTATTATTCCTTTTATTAAATATATATATATATTTTCTTTTATTAAAAAAAAAAAAAAGATATTTATATAAATATATCATTATTAAGCTCCCATATAATAAGCTTAATTTTAGTTCATGTTGTTATATTATTATTGAAACATTTATTATTAACTATACATATTTTAATAATATATTTAAGCATTAGTAACAATAATTCGATATTATTATTTTTCTTCTTCACTTCTACTTGTATCTTTCATAATTTCATTAATAATTTGAAAAGCATTATTCTAATCTCCCATTCTAGCAAATTATTAAGCGATTTATAATTTTTGTAAAACACTTGAATTATTTCTGAAAACCTATTCAAGATTAGAGATTATAGAAATATATAAAAGAGAGTCTTGAGAATTTAACATTCCTTAGCTTGGTGTGCTTTGTACGCTTGTAGGGAAAGAACTTATACCTGACATCATTTCTTCATCTCCATGAGGAAAAGAGCATGCTTGTTAATTTTTACAAAATCCCCTTTGGAAATATTGGCATTTGACTGTTTTATAGTTATTACATAATACCTTAGGTTAAGAAGTAGGAACATTTATAGGAGTTGGATTGTTTGTGTTTCTTAACTCTTCTTAACCATGCGCAAAATGACAGGCAGATCCTAATTAGCAATTTCCATTTTTAAAATGACGACAGAGGTTTGTTTTGTATTTGTTGCTTTATACTATAGGAGTTTATATCACTTGGAATTTGGGGTTTTATTGTTAAAATTAGGTATTGTAGCTTTGAGGATAAACTGCTTATTGCTATTAGGACATTTTTTTGTTTTTTAATTAAAAGGAAATAATATTTTTTATTTTTTTTTAAAAAAAAATAATATCTAAAAAATTATAAAAACTATTTTAATTAAGTTATATATTATTTGTAATTTTGTAATTTTATTTTTCTGAATTTATTTTTAATTTTAGCTTTGATTAAATATTATTTGGATCAATATAATTTCGAGATTATATTACTTGATCTTTTTTACTTTTTATGTATTTTTTTTAACAAAAAATTCAAGTAATATATAAAAGAGGACAAGAAAAATGGAAAATTGACTTTTTTTTTGATTGGGTTTTAAAATAAAAAATACAGAAAAAATAAGAAAGAAACAAAACAAATTAATATATTATTTAGTTGCTAAGAAAATAAAATGTAAGAACTACTTTTAAATATATTTATATTTTATTTAAGGCATAATTTTGTATTACTATTTTTTGTTAACTTATTTCGTATTAGTTAAAAATTTTATTTAATTATTTATTATTTATAAATTAATAATTTAAATATATATAAAGTTAACGTCAAAATAGATGCAATAATTGTATTTTATTTTTAATATAATAATATGTCTAATTGATTATATTGTGGAAATTGTCATTTTATTAATTTTCATAGTTTTTTTTAATGGTCTATTCTAATTTTTATAATAAGAAGTTAATATTATATAATTATAATTTTTATTTTCTTATTTAATTTTTATGTATCAAATATTTTAACTTCCATATAAATATATAATTTAAATAAGTTGAAATTTTCAAGTGACCTTCGAAATTTTATTTAGAAAACAAATATATAACTTATATAATACCTAAATTTAATTTTATATTAAAAACATATATTTTAATATTTAATTTTATACTTGATTTAATTAATATAATTATTTTTTTATTATATTAAAATAAAAATTAAACTTTTATAATGTTATATTTAATTTATTTTTTTATTTTAATAGATATTACAATAATAATTTAAATAAATTAATTATTATTTTAAATTGTAATATGTTATAATTATCCATATTATTTTGTATCTAAATAATTAGTTATTTAACAAATATTAAATAATAAATAAAATTAAACAAAACAAAAAAATACTTAAATGTCAAGATAAAAGGTCAATACTTTAAGCGTTTTTATAAGTAATTAAAACAATAATAACAATTCAAATTAAAGATAATTTAAAAAGTCTCATAGTATAAAATAAATAAAAAATGTTTTATTAAATGAAGAAAATAATTAAATACAATATTTTTGTGTTTAAGATACTATAAAATAAGATTTTCAATAATTAATTAGTGAGGAAAGAAAATAAAATTAAATTCCGCCTAAAAGCATTCTTAAATTTGTATAAATGACATCTGAAATGCCTAAAAATTTATTTATTGTTAACTAAGAAACAGAAAATTTACAAAAATAAAAAATTCCTTTTTAATGTCATGATTAAGAAGTTTATTTAAATTCCAATGATTATTTGAAAGAAATCTAAAATTAAGAAATCAATATTTCTAAATTTAATTTAAAAAAAAGAAGAGGTTCAATAAGCCATTTTTTAGTTATGGGTAAATAAGATTTCATATAAAAGGAAAAATAATAATACATAAAAAGAAAAAGCCTTTAAAGCATAGATATAAAATAAATTTCTTAATAAATAAATAAAATAAATATAATAAATAAGTTATTTTAACTAAACTACACATATAAAAATATTGCATAATTTTATATTTATGTTAATATTATTGGATTTATTATTTTCTTACATTCTCTTATATAGATAAATATTTAATATTAATTAAATGATTTATTATTAATTAATTAAACGAATAATTTATATACTTTTTCTAAACTTTTTTTTTTGTTTTATTTGCTTTATTATTATTATTTTAATTTGAATTTTCTTAGATTTAATAAAATACTTTTGTTTTTTTTAATGTTTTTATTACGCAAACATTCTTAAATAATTATAGAAACATATAGAAAGAATAAATATAAAGAAAGGCTATTATATTAGGATGTAATTAGTATAGTAAATTAATTATTTCAATTAATTAAAGTCTTATTTTTTTAATTAATTGTGGAATTTTTTATGCATATATTATATATGATGATTATTTTTTTAAATTTGAATAATCTTAAATTGATTATTTAATGCTTTTTTAAAAGATATTATTTTATTGCCTTTTTTTTATTATTTCCATCTGTAATAATTATTTATTGATAAATATATTTTATCTAAATAAATTTAGAAGATTTTAACTTAAATATTAATTACATTTTTTAAATACATTTATAATATATTCTTTTTACTAAATTTAATTTTTGGTTAGATATAATGCTAATTTAGTTTATGTTTAAGAATTTATGTGTTATTCTGATTTAATGATTTCTTTTATTATATTAATTTCCTAATTAATAAATAAATTCTTAATTTCTTATATTTAATTTTTAAAGGATAATGATGATTTAATAAGAATAACAAATTTAATTCTAATAAATGGATTCATTATTAATAAAATTATTATCATTCCTTTTTTCTTTATATATGGAATTATAATTAATTCCTTTTTGATTTTAATTAATAAAAACTTTAATATTTATTTTTTATAAACGATTCTTTACAAGTAAAGAGAATAATATTTAGCCTTCTTTTAATATTTAATTATATCTTTTGTTATCATTTATAATGTTAATTTAGGTTTAGAAATAAAATGGTTAAACTAAAATCTAATTGAATATGAATTTAATTACATATATGAAAATATTTTTTAGTAATTAAAATACTAGTTTATTAATATTCATACTTTTTTTTTAATACTTTCATTCTTATCTATATTTTTGTTTATACTCTTTTATAATTAAAAAGCTTAGAATTAAAAAAAATTAATTATTTAATGGATTAAATATAAAATGCAAGAAAAAAAAATAATAACAATAAAAATAATAATAAAAATAACAATAACAATAACAATAGTAATACATAGGGGAAATAAATATAATCTTCAGAAAACAATACATCTTATAAATGAATTAAATTAAATTATATAAGTAAAATAAAAATGTAATTTATTTAAAATACTTTTATAAAACTAAAACTAAAATTATTATATTAATTTAAAATTTAAAATAAAAAATAAAACAAAATTTATACATATTTACAAATTAATTAAAATGTTTGATTAATAATTATATAAAGTAAAAAAAAATATTAATCATATATAAAATAATTGTTTATATAATATAATATAAATATTTAATATTAATATAATATAATTTTCATGTTATTAATTTAATAAAAATTTATATATAAATAATTAGTTATAATATTTGACTTTTTAAAAGAATTTGTTAATTTAGTTTGTTAAAAATATTTATCATAATTAAAATCTTAAATTTATAATAAATATAATGACTAAATATAGATTTATATTCAATTAAATAAAATTTAAAAATATTTAAAAATACAATATTAATTTTTATAAATTAATAATATATTGTTTTTATAATAATGTTAATTTTTAATTATATAAAAATATTTCAAATTTAAATTTCATATTTAAATAAAATTTATAAAAATTTAAAAATATATTGTAAATATAGAATTAATAAATAGAATACAATTGTATTTGACTATTAAAAAGAAGTATATTAATACTTATCAAAATTTTATGCAAACAAATATAAAATTATTAAAATATAATTTGTTATTTTATATTCTAAAAATTATAAAATGATTAAGTAAATATAAAATATCATTTTAAAAAAGTGACAAAATAAAAGTTTTAATTTTTTTTAAAAAAATAAGAAAAAAAAAAAAAACCTACTATACTTCCTCAAATTTATAAAAATCATGTTATCTATCTAAAAACAAAATTTATTTATTATTAATCAACGAAATCAATTTTTTCTAAAAATATTTTTTGATTTGAATGTGAAAAGGATGAATAAATAAAAGAGTTATTTTATACAAAAATTTTATTAATTATTTGTTTTATAAATTTTATTTTTAAAGCAAACTCAAAAAAACAATACAAAAAAAAGCGAAAAAAATGTATTTATTTTTGATTAATTTTTTAAAAAATTAAAAATATATTAGAAAAAAAAAAGCATAAAGATATTTGATTAAAATAAATTAATATTTAAAAAATATAATATCTATTTATTTTATATTAAAAATAATATTTTTATAGCCATATTTTTTATTTAAATATCTTTTATTTTTTATTATATATTAATAGTAATTTAACATGATTACCATAAATAATTTTTTTCTTTTGTTTTTAACTTATTTTTCTATTCATACATATAATAAACTTATAAACTTAATTTTTAATTAATTATGAAAAAAATAAAAATATATGTGTTATAAAATAATTATAACTTATATAAAAATAAAAATTAAATCAAGCTATATAATTTTTTTATTCAACAAAAATATTTTTGGAAGAATTTGTTTTAACTCCAATATTATTCATATAATTAATAAGCTAAGATTTAGCTTTTGAAAATATTGTAATAGTATTTAAATCAGTAGCAAATTTAGGTAATTTAATCTTTTTATATACTTATCCGCTTTTTTATTATGTAAAGTTTTAATTGTTTTAATTTTAAGAGTTCATCAATTAAAGTTTTTATTCTTTTAAATTATTATTTTATTATATTTATTAACTATCAAATTATAAATTTACATTTAAATTATTTCTAAAATAAAAAATTTTTCGGGAATTATTTTTTCTCAAGTTACTTAAACTATGTGCACATTTTTCATTATCGATAAATTTTGTATTTTTTAAAAGTGGTTAAGAAACAATATCTATATATTTGATTTCCATTTATTCTTTCATAATTTGTTCCTTATTTTATTTTTTATTTACAAATTTACTATAATCATAACTTCCTGTGACCCCAAAACGACTTGTTTGTATATTTTAATAAGGGTATATATTATTTCCTTAATGCATTTGTACATGGTGTGGGGAATTTAAAAATTCATAATCTTGTTTTAAACTGTGTAATTTGTTCAATCTACCCATTTTATATTAGCGAATAAATTTTTAACTAGTTGATCCTGGCATAAAGCTTTATGCATTCCATTTTTTTCTTTGCATTTGTTGTTAGACTTATTGCTAACTTTTTTATATTGAAAAGTTTTCTGTATTTTAAAATTATTATCGACTATTTTTTGAATTATTTTATTTGTCAAATTCATGCTTTTAAGTTATAAATTAAAAGTCATTTGACCCTATATATGATGTTTATGATATTTTCTTTGATTTGATTTTTTATTGACCTTACAATTAATAAATATTTTGCATTTTTTTATATATATATATTTTTGTTTTTATTATATATTTTTAATATATTTATTTGTTTGTTTAATAATTTTATGAAGATTATTATATTTTTATAACTTTTTTATATTTTTAACATACTTTTTTTGTATGATATTTATTAATTATAAAATTATTTAAATTTAATATATGTTTTAATAAAATTTAATAAAAATAATAAATATTGACTTATGTTTTATATTTAATAAATTATATTTTTATTTTAAAATAAAAATAACAAAAAATGTATATATTTAATTGAAATAAATTATTTTAAATTAAATTTTTAGAATTAAATTCATTTTTTTTTTCTATTATTTATGTATTATATAAATTTTTTATTATTATTCTTATAAAAACTTAATATTTTTATTTTATTATAAAAAAAAAATCATTTTTATTCTAATTTAGCCTACAAATACTAAACTTCCTATTTAAGTCTTTCGAATTCTGAATAAAAATCTTTATTTTTATATAAGTAGATAAATAAAAACTTATTAATATATTAAATAATAATAATAACTTGTTATATTTAATTCATTTTTAAACTATTAGATTTATTCTTCAGTATAATTATCTATTTCTTTATTTTGATAATTTTCAATTATTTTTCTATATTCTTCTATTTATTATTCTTATTTTTCTACTTATTATATTAAATATTCATTTTCTTCTCCTTCAATATTTTCATGTATTACTTAATTTTAAAACTATCCTCTTTTTTTATTATAGTTAAGTCTATGGTTTTCTTCTTGAAGTTATTAATATTTTTCTATCCAATCTTATTCATCTTCTTTTTTGATTTAAATAATTTAATTTAACTCTTTATTTTCATTTTCTAAATTAATTATTTTATCTTAAAATTCTATAATTTGATTATTTTTATCATTTTCGGTTTCATTTCTTTACTAACAAAAATAAATAAATATATACATTTTTTTTTATTTTACGTTTTAATATTTATTATTGAATCTTTTTTCAAAAGTAATTATTTTTGCTTCTAAATCTTTAATTTTTTACTTTTAGTTTTTATTTTCAATTTGTAGAGTTTAGTTAATATTTCTTAAACCATTAATATTTTCAAAAGAATTTTTCGATTAATTCATTTATTATTCTAAGCGTGAATTCTCTTTAGTTAAATAATCAATTTAATGGTTTAGAATTTTGATTTTTTCATTATTTTAGTTAATTTCATATTAATTATATAATTTATCAATATGAGTTACACCAACTATTAATAAAAAATAAATAAATTAATAAAAATATATGATATGTACCATCTATTCTTGATTAAAGTCTATTAATTTCCTAATCTCTATTTTAGACTTAAAGTTTAAGATGCTTATTTTCTTATCTTATAATTTCAACTTCTTATTTTTATTAATTTATTATTTCTTATTTATTTTTATTTATTTAATCATTATTTTTATTTTATAATATTAAATTTGAACTATTTTATATATTTTCGTCTTAATGTTAATTTTGTTATTCATTCTTATGTTAACCTTTTTTAATTAACTAGTTTAATGAACATGCTCATACTTTCTCAAAGAAATGTTTGCTGGTTATGAATTATTTAAATTTACATATTTTTTTATAAATCTTCAAATCCTTTTTCGCATGAAGGTAAATATACTTTGGCTGATATAATATCCAATTTATTTTTAAGGGATTAATACTTTTTTTTTATTTATTTTATTTACATAAAAATAAAAACTAATTTATTTCAGAAAAAAAAAAAAAAATCAATAAAAAAATACACATATTTTTAATAAATTATTAACTCAATTATATATATATATATATATATATATATATATATATATATATATATATATATATATATATATATATATACTTCTTTTTCAAGCGTTCTAAACTTTATTTATTCTTATTAAACAACAAATTTCAAATCATCTCTTTCACCTTAAATATGTTTTACTTTTATTTCATATATATTATCTTTTTATTGCATTTGCTCTTTTGTTTCCATTATTTATTAATGTAAAATATTATTTTCTCTTAATAATTTTTTATTTTCTAATTGTAAAGGGTGAACACTCTTTTCTGTTTTATTAACTTAATCTTATAAGCTATTATTTTATTCTTATAATTTTTAACAATTTTCTTTCGCTTTTATTAAATCTTGGAGTATATTTTCAACTAACAAAGCACTTTCTGATTATAAAGGATAATTATAATGCATTTCATCTAATTTTTTTCGTAAAAAAAGATATTTTCTTTCATTAATCATTTTTTATTTATATGAATATTTAATTTATTATAATTATTTTTATTTTTTTAAAATTTTTTTTTTTTTTTTAATTTTATAATTGCTTAATTTATATGTTTTTATTTTCAAAAAATTGTAACTTAATTTTATATTGCAAATTTAAATATTGATTTAATGCAAATTATTTTATTGATTTTTAATACAAAAAACTTTATAAATTTATTGTTAAAAATTTTAAAATAATTTTTTTTTTTTTTTTTTATTATGATATGAAATGATATTTTAATATACAAATAGAATATATAAGAAATAATATATTTATATATATTTTTTTATATATATTTACTTTTGTTTGAAAAAAATAAATAAATTTTAATTTTATATTACTAGCCTATACTTCACTATATATAATATTTATTCTTTTTTTTTTTATTAATTATTCTTATTTTAAATTAAAAAAAATGTAAAATTATACTAAATAATAGCAAGACTTAATATAGGAAAGCCTTAGAAATATAAACGAAGCATCTTAATATAGCTAATCAACTAAACAAATTGTATATGATCAACAAAGTTAAAAACTAAATCTAATTTAATTATATTTATATTTTTTTAATAATAGATATATTAAATAATGTAAATTAAAACTTAAATTAATAATAATAAGATTTATATGATAGTTAATATAAAGTTAATGGAATGAAATCTTTTTTCATAAGAATACTAAATATATTTAAGACTCCTAAAAAAAATAAAGAGTTAGATGAATGGAAAGATATATAAACAAATTTGAATAAATAAAATAATCCTTAAAATTAATAAAATCTTGATAATAATAACGATTAAAATAATATGTTATAAGAACTAAATAATTAAGTAATCTTAAATAATTTTTATAATAAAATTCATTTTATGATTATTTCATTTTTTTAGATTACTAGACTTAAAAATGATAATATATTAATTGGAAATAATATAGGTTTATAAAACTAACAGCTAGATATAGTTGATTATAAATAAGATAAAGTATAAAAGTCTATGGAAAAGATAAATAAAGATCTTAAAAAACTAGTATGAAATATTAATTTTTTAACATAATTATAATTAATTTTTTTTTTTTACATGATTTTATAAATTTTAATGTAAATATAACATGACCATTAAATTTACAAAAATTTAATAGTTTTCCTATATTTTTATTATTTTTTTTATAATATTATATTTTTATTATATAAAATTAATTTATAAATTATAAGTTTATTATTTTTAATAATTCTATTGTTCCTATATTGTTTTATGTATAATTGTTACCTGAAAATCTAGTAATTTTTATTCGCAATATTTAAGAATATTATATTATTAATTATATAATAATATATAAAATAATTAATAAAAGTTAACAAAGTTCATTTAAAACAATCATTATTTTAATATTCATTAAAGCTAATTTAAAACAATAAAATATGAATTAAATATTATAATTTTAAAATTAAAAAAAATTATTAATAATGAAAGAAATTAATATTATTTTATATTATCAGTTTTTTTATAAATTAAAAAAAATATTTTATATTTATATTTACATCAAAAAATATTTATATAATTTATATATTTCTTATGGAAGAACTAGAAAATATAATAAAAATATTTAATATTTAAAAAACAAAAGATGATAATACAAATTAAATTAATTACTAAATTGATATAACAACAAACGCGATGAAATTTTTATAGTACCATAAACATAATAATGTATATCATAATAACAAAAATTATTAATTATTTTATTTTAATTAAAAAAAAGATTTTACCTATATGCGTTAGTGATGATATTGATGTTAAAAGAACTTACAGCCTATTGTAAATAAATTATGATAAAAATATAGATATAAATTAATCTGAATAAGGTATATAAAAAAATTGTTAATTACAATATAAGAATTATAAATAAAAAGGAATTTATATTTATAAAAAAACAATATAGAAAGAACAGGATGTTTTAATAATGATATTTTAGTTTAATAAATATGAAGAATATAATCCTGAATAAGGAATTAATTAAATTGCATTTATTTATCTATCATTTTATTTATATATTTCTAAATATATTATAATAAGCAAGTAACATAATAATATATTACAAAGTTAATTAATTTTTTTATTAAAAAGATAATTAAATCCGAATTTATTAATAATAATAAATAATTTTGTTTTATAAAATAGTTCTTAAAATTACTAAATCTGTACTTCTTTAGAAGAGTTTGAGTTAAAATAAAAACATTTTTATTTAAAACACATCAAATTTTTTATAAAATATTTTTTTAAAAAGGCAAATATTATTAATTTAACCAAAATAAATATAATAAGTAAAAATAAATGGATATTTATTATTTAATATGATTTGTGAATTCTGTTAGTCTTATTCTTAGGATAAATAAATTAATTATTTAGAAGCTTTTGAAAGTCATTTAAGAATTTATATCAAAAATATAAAAGAAGAATAATATGAACAATATTTAAATTTTGTAAATAAAATAAATGAATAATCATTTAAACAAAAACAAAAAAATAGATTGAAAGTACTCTTAACGAAAACTAATTTCCTTTAGAAAAAATAGTGATTGAAAATAAATTTTATGAAGCTTAAGAATAAAATTTAAAAGAATTTGATTTAAGAGTAGAAACTATAAATTAAGTTTAATTAGTTTTGGCTTAGAGAAATTAGTTATAAGATCAAATGAATAAAAATTATTTTGATTAAATTAGAAAAAATGAGTAAGCAAGTGAATAACATTGTACTAATTTACTCGCTTCTATTTATGAGGAATTCCAAAATGAGAATTTAACTTCTTTTTCAGATTAAAATTTTATTATTTCGGAAACTTCTGTATTATAAAAATAATAAATATATACTGATAAAATTATTCTTTATTTTAATTTAGCTAGTGGACCTTTTAAATGTATTTTATTTTTATAATTTTTATATTATTTTATGATTATTTTTTTAGATAAATTAGCAGCTGAAACATAAACAAGATTTATTTTTGAGTTTTTCGATAATTATTTTTAACTTATTTAAAAATAATTTTTAGATTAAAATATTAAATAATCTTCTACTTTAATTGAATTGGAAAAAAAGTAAAAGAAATAGAAAACATAATGAATCAATAATAAATGTAAAAAAAGAGAAATATATTATTATTATTATTATTATTATTATTATTATTATTATTATTATTATTTTTATTATTTTTATTATTTTAATTAAAAAAAAGTAAAATTCATTAATTTGAGGAAGAGAATTTAAAACTTTAATATTAATTATAAACAAAAAAAAAGAAATTGAAACAATAATTGATATAAAAAATTTAGAAGAATCATTTAAAAAAAAACAAATTGAAAGTTTAGATAAGAAAAGAGAAAAAAAGAAAATAAAAATTTAAGAAATAAAAGAAAATTAAATTAAATAAGATAGAATAATAAATACATTATAAGAAGAAATAAACGAAAAAAACAATTTACTTTAAATCATTTAATAAAAGCTTTATAAATTTGAAGATTTACAAAATTAATTAAGTCATTAAAATTCACAAAATTCTAATCAATAATAGTTTGATTTATCGACTACACTTTAAGATTTTAAATAATATATTAAAAGAGCAGAAGATAATATAGTTAATATTTCTTTAGAAAGTTCACATTGTTCTTAAAATGTTAATAAATTTTATATTTTTTATATTAAATTAAACATAATTTTTATAGAATATTTAAGATATTAATGAATTAAAAAAAAGGAAAGATGAAAAAATAAAATCCTTAAAAGATGAAATATGGGCTTTTAAAATTGAATTTGAATAATACAAATAAAATAAAAAGGAAGAAAATGATAATCAAATTTTATAATTAAAATAATAAATAATTTAATTACAGGAAGAAAATTTGAATTTGAAATCTTAAATTTCAGAAGGAAAATGTTTAATTATTTAAAATAATGTAAATTTATTTTAATTTATATTATAATATTTTTTTTATTTAATTTTATATAAATTTATTTTATATTTTATAATATTATTATTTTTTATATATATTTTTTTTTAGACTTTGATGAATTAAAATGAAGAACTTTATAAATAAATAAAAATCGAAAAAGATAAATATTAAGTTCTTTACGATGTAATTATAATTTTTTTTTTGTTCAAGTTTATATTATTTAATTTATAATTTTAATTATTAGTTTGTAGATATTTAAAATAAAACAATTGAAGATTAACATAAAAGAAACGAACAATTACATGTAAAATTAACTGATGCAAATATTTTAAATGGTAACTATGAATTATTAATTGAAAGTCTTTACTAGAAAATTTTACCTGAACTAGTTTTATTTGTTAGAAAATAGCATAATAGACTTAAATTTAATATTTAAGCTCTTAATAATTCAGTTTAATAAGAAGAATTATATTGTATATTGTAAAATTGTGGGATAAATATTTGAAAAAATATAAATATATTTTTCATAAAGTTTTATTTTATTTTATTAAATTAATATTTTTAAGTTTATTTATTTTTAAACAATATATCAAAAAATAAAATTAAGAAATTTTGCTTTAATTCAATAAAGTAAATAAAAAAAAAAAAAATTAGTATAATATAATAATCATTTTATAGTTTTCAAGATAAATATCAAAATATAATTAAACCAATATGTATTTTAATTAATAAATTAAATTTATAAATCTCAAAATAATATAAGTTTATTAGAATCAAATTCAGAAATAAAAATTTAAGATTTATTATTATTATTTTAAATTGAATAAAATTCTAAATTATCAAAATATACCATAATATTATATAAAAATATTATTTTATAAATATTTTAATATTTTATTATAATTAATAATATGTAAGATATTGTTTTATATTATAAAAAGTACAATATAAATTGTAGAGTTGTATATATATATGTTCGAAACCTAATAATTAGTATAAAATTAATAAATATTAATAATTCTAATTATTAATAACAAAATCAATATATAAATAAAAAATAAATAAAATTATTAATAAAAATCTAAAAAAAAAGAAATAACAATAAATTATTATTATAATTATTATTATTATTATTATTATTATTATTATTATTATTATCTTTTTTTTTTATTTATTAATATATATAATTAAATTATATAATACATAAATAATATCTTCAAAAATATATATATAAAAATTTATTATATATAATAAATAATCATTTTTATAATATTTAACAAAACAATCTTTTTATGTAATTAAAATAAATAAAATATTATATAAAATGATAAATTATTGGTTGTTTTTAATTTATATGACATATAAAGCATACATATATATATAATATTATTTAATTATGCAAAAGATAGATTAAAATTAAAATAGCTTTTTTTTCTTATTAATAGAAGATATTAATTTTTTGCTAAATATAAGTTAGAAAATAATAAATTATAAATAGATAAATATAAAATTTGCAAAAAAAAAGTTTTATATATTTTCACAAATTAAGTTTTTTAATTATATTAAATATTTAATAACTTTATTTTGATAATATTTTATTTATGATATTTATATTTACTCTATTTAAGTAACTTTATGAATTACTAAAATTTTATACTTCAATATATTTAAGATTGCTTTTCAGTTTAAGTATGAATAACTTTTATCTAAAAATATAATAATTTGAGTTATTTATTTTTTGATTAATTAAAATATAAACTTTAAAACATATAATTCTTTTATTAATTAACAAAAAAAATAAAAAAATTACAAATAAAATTTATTAAAATAATTAAAAATGAACTATATGGATAATGAATCTCATAATTAAGCATTGGAACTTTTTGAAGAATTTAAAAATCCAAATACAAATATGGTAGATAGTTCTGAATTTTTAGAATGTATAAACGAATCATCAGTTTCAGATAATTGTAAATTGTTGATAAAGAAATTATAAAAAAGGAAAGGATTAAAATTAGATTAAAAATAATTTATGGAATTATTCGATTTTGATTTTGTTACAAATGTATTAAATAAATAATCATTTTTTATAAGAAAAATAATCATTTTTTTCATTATTAATTTTTATAATCATAAATAAATTTTATATTTCTTTTATTATTATAAAAAAAGAGTGAAAATCTTGATATTATTTGTTAGAGATTTGATGAAATAGGAAATCAAAATGGTTATATAAGTACACAAGAATTAAAAGAGGCTTCTAGAATATATAGTAATCATATTTATTAAATAAATATATATAAATTTTTTGTATATGTAAATAATCTTTATAGATTTAGGACTTAGTGATTAAGATATATAAGTAATGATTAAATATGGTGGAAATAAAGAAGATATAATAACAATAGATTAATTAAAAGCTTTAATTATTGGTAAATGAATATAAAGAAATTAAAATATTATAAATAAATATGTATTTTCATTTAACAAATTTAAATATTAATCAAAAACAATAATATTTATTTTTTAATTAAATATAAGAATATTATTTATAAAATATATTCTTTATATAACAACAATTATGTTTTTTTTAATTATTTAAAATGAAAATAAATATATATATGAATTTAAAATGTATTAATTTTAAAAAAATAAATAAAAAAATTATATTTAAAATGTTTAAATATTTTACTTTATTGTTAATTTTTATTTAAATAAAAAAAAATTCATTAACATTATATAAAATAATTTTTTATTTTAAAAAATTTTAATCATTTCTTTTATGCTTTGGCATTAACTTATGCTCTAACGCTAGCTCTGTGGAAGTTAACAAGTTTTCTAAGGGCTGCTTATCTAACACCTTTAGTTTAAAATGTTTTTCTGATAACCTTTATATTTAGTAAATATAAATTAATAAAAATAAAGATATTTTGATGATATAAATGTTTTTAAAATAAATTTAATAATTTTATTATTTATTAAATAAAAATGAAAATATATCTATTTATATATTTTTATATTAATTTTATTTTAAAATTACTTTTGCAACTCTTTAGAATCCACTTTTTACATTTAATTAGGCGCCTTCAAGATTTCCGCTTTTTCTAACTTTTTTATGGGTTTAATTTTTTCTCAACGAGGCAACGACTGTGCTTTTTTCACCTTTATTTAAAGCAAGACCACTTAAGTGTAAAAATCCTATTTTTATTTTAAAATAAATATTTAATTTGGTTTATTTACCTGATCCATAAAAAGTGTTTTTTCCTGTTAATGAATAAGGATCCTTAGTGAATTTTTATCCGAAATTTTTTAATTAGTAGCAGTTGAAATTTTTAACTAATTCCCAATGTAATTAAGACATTTTTTTTTTTTGTTTAATTAATTAATTCTTTTTTTATTTAAATTTTTTTTTTTTTTTCTTTTTTTTTTTTTTTCTTATAAAAAATATATATATATAATTATTTTTATATTTTTTTATATTTAATCTTCTTTTTTTTAATTTAATATATTTTAATTTGCATATATTTTTGTTAATTTATTTTATAAAATTAAAATATAAAAAAATTAAAAATTATACATATTGAATTTTTTATAAATATAACAAAAAAGTAAAAACTATAAAAAAGTTAAAAATGCATTAAATGTCATATATTTCTGAAGATTCAAGAAGAATAATAAAAGAAATAGAAATTATGAAAGCTCAAAAAAAGCAATAAAATAAAACGTCTTAATAAATATGTTAATCTCCAACAAAATATACATAAAAAGATATAGAGTTAATAAAACAAACAATAAATGAAACAAAAGAAAAATACAGTTAGAATAAAAGAGTTAATAAAATGTAATCTAGAAGTGAAGTCCCTGATATAAATAAATTATTAAATAAAATAGAAGATAATTATAATAAAAGCTAATATTATTAAGTAAAAAGCTTTTCAAAAAACTCTAAATAAGAAATAAATTAAATTATTGATTAATAAAATAGGAGCTCATAGCAGGTAATATAAAAAATAAATTACGGGTTATATGATTACTAAAAGTAAAATGTAAATAAGAAAAAAGTATAAAGTGACAATGTTATATTTATATAAGAACAAATAAAGAATTAATAATAATTATAAGATATAAATTAAAATAAAAAATACATAAAATATATAAATAATTAAATTGAATATCTAACACCATAAATAAATAATAAAAAAAAATATTTAAATTCAAATGTACCATATTCTTGTGAATTTATTAGCCTTTCACCTAAGTTAAATGCTTAGTAATAATTGTATAATAATAATAATAATAATAATAATAATAATAATAATAATAATAATAATAATAATAATAACATTAACAATTTTTCAAACAATAATTATTTTAAATAATAATCTTAAGGATCTATTACTTATTTATAAGAAAGCTCCTTAAAATATTTTAATTATGATAAGTAAAATAGTTTGTCTAATATTCATTAACCTTAAAAAGTAGAAGAAATTATAAATTAAATATAATTTGAAAAATTAAGACAATAAATATAATAATAACATTATAGTTAAAATAATAATATTTTAATATCTGATTTTTAAGTTAATTAAAATAATTTTTCTAAGGATAAAATAGTCTCATTATCAAATTTAAAAGATTTTAATATAATATAGAATATATAAATATCCGAAAATATTGAAACCGAAAATAATTAAAATATTAAAACTGTAAATACTCAAATTATTAATGACTAAAATATAGAAAATAATAACAAAAGCATTATAAGTTCTAATGAAAGTATCATAGAAGAACGTATTACCTAACCTTTAGATATATAAATTAGAGAAAGTAATATTGGTAGTTTAGAAATTTAAAAAAAATAAAGTATTTTTAACAATAATTAAGTTAAAAGTGAATTAACAACATTAAATTAATTATTGTAATAATATTAATAAAAGAAAAAAATTATTCGGAATAATTTATAATATGGATTAAATGATTTAATTTTTATAAAATAATTAGGAAAGGGTATGCATTCGGAAGTTTTTTTAGCTCAAGATAAATAAACCGGCTTCCTTTTTGCAATCAAAAGGCTTTGTAAAAAATAATTGATTGAATATGAAATGGAAGAATAATTTAGTCATGAAATAAAAATCTAAGCTTTTTGTAATTAACCTAATATTATTAAATTATATTACTATTTTTCTGATCAGTATTATTTTTATTTAGTAATGGAATATGTTTCAGGAAAATAACTTTCTGAATATTTGCGAGAAAGTGAAAATAATTGCTTATAAGAACCTTAAGGCGCTTATTATTTATTGTAAGTTTCTTAAGCTATTTATTATTTGCATAAAATGAATATAATGCATAGAGATATAAAAGCTGATAATTTAATAATATCTAATGTAAAAAAAAAATATTTATAAAAATTTATGTATATTATATATTTATTTTCTCTGTAACTTTTTTTAAAAAACTCGAATAAAAAAAGTGATATAAAATGGTTAATGATTATTTTTTTTTATTGAGTTTTTTCAAAAAAATTAAATATAAGTAATTTATAATGTTTTTTTATTTTTCCAAAGGAAGTAGTAAAATTAGCAGATTTTGGATATTCGAGAAAATGTTATTAATAAAATATAAGAAATACTTTTTGTGGAACATTAGATTATTTAAGTCCTGAGATTATAAATGGAGAAAGTTATGATATTTATGTAGATATTTGGGCTTTAGGTGTTCTAGCGTATTAAATTTTATAAGGTAAAGCGCCTTTTTATGAGGAATCTTAAAATTAAACTTTAGAAAAAATAAAATAAGGGAAATTTAAGTTTTAAAAAAATATGAGTTTTTAGGCTTAAAAGTTTATTAGTTAGTTGTTGATTATTAATTAATAAAGTAGACTTAATATTACAGAAATTCTTAAGGATAATTGGGTTTTAGGATAGGCTTAAGTTTATGAAAATTAAATGTAGGTATTTGAAGAAATTAATGTTTTAATGTTATAATTATATAAATGAAAAAAAAATTTTGAAAATTAATAAAAAATAAGTATTTATTTTATGTATTTAAAAAATAAAAATGTTTTCTTATATTTAATTTATAAATATTTTATAAAAAAAAATAAGAAAAATAAATAAATGAAAAAGTAAAATAATATGTATATATATATTTTGAATTTATTTATGAAAAAATATATATATATATGTTTTTATAATTTTTTATTTATTTATTTCCTTTTTATTTTATTTTTTTATATAATAAAAAATTATATGTATCTCATTTAGACTTCATAGCTGCTTTTCTTCCATCAGCCAAAGCTTCTTCCAAATCACCTTTCATATAGAAACATGATTCAGGATATTCGTCACCAGCTCCTTCAAGTAAAGCTATTTTTATTATAAATTGGATTTAAAATAAATATATTTAATTTATTAATTTATTATTTACCTTTAAATGAAGCCACATTTTATTTAAGATCAACAAATCTACCAGGCATACCTGAGAAAACTTCACTCATAAAGAAAGGTTATGAAAGGAATTTCTAAACTTTTCTAGCTCTAGAGACTGTTAATTTATCTTCTTCGGAAAGATCATCAACTCCTAAAATAGCAATAATATCTTATAAACTCTTATAGTCCTATAGTAATTTTTAGACTCCTCTAGCTATTGAATAATGCTCTTCTCCAATAGTTACAGGGTCTAACATTCTGGAAGTAGAATCTAAAGGATCGACAGCAGGATAAATACCTAATTCAGTTAAACCTCTGTTAAGTACTGTTGTGGCATCTAAATGTGCAAAAGTAGTAGCTGGGGCAGGATCTGTTAAATCATCAGCAGGTACATAAATAGCCTATACGGAAGTAATTGAACCATTTTTAGTTGTAGTAATTCTTTCCTATAAAGCACCCAAATCTGTGGCCAAAGTAGGTTAATAACCCACAGCAGACGGAATACGTCCTAATAAAGCGGACACTTCCGAACAAGCTTATGTGAATCTAAAAATATTATCAACAAACAACAATACATCCTAAAATAAAAATATATTTAATAAATATGTAATAGGTTATATGTATTACTTTTCCTTCCTCATCTCTGAAATATTCGGCGACAGTCAAACCGGTTAATCCTACTCTGGCTCTAGCACCTGGAGGTTCGTTCATTTATCCGTAAATAAGAGCACATCTAGATTCATCATTGTCTAAACTGATAACTTTTGAAGCAATCATTTCATGATATAAATCATTTCCTTCTCTTGTTCTTTCTCCTACTCCGGCAAATACTGAATAACCACCATGATGTCTAGCTACATTGTTAATAAGTTCCTAAATAAGTACTGTTTTTCCTACTCCAGCACCTCCGAAAAGTCCGATTTTTCCTCCTCTGGCATATGGAGCTAATAAATCGACCACTTTAATACCTGTAACTAAAATTTCAGCAGCTGCAGCTTAGTCAGTAAATGAAGGAGCATCTCTATGTATAGGATAATGTTTTAAAGTATTAATAGGGCCTCTTTAATCTATAGGTTCACCAATTACATTCATAATACGGCCTAATGTTTATGGACCAACAGGTACACAAATGGGACTACCAGTATCTACTACACTCTAACCACGAACTAAACCTTCAGTGCTGTCCATCGCGATTGTTCGAACTCTAGAGTCTCCTAAATGTTAGGCTACTTCTAATACTAAACGATGTTGGGTTCCTTGGACTTCGAGAGCGTTTAAGATTTGGGGAAGCTCGCCTTCAAATTAGACATCGACGACAGCACCAATTACTTATGATACTTAACCAAGTGAGGTATTTTAAGTTTTTTAAGTTTTTTAGGTTTTTTAGGTTTAGGCTTTTGTTGCGAATGCTATTTTTTTTTATATATATATATATATTCATGTTTTTTTTTATTTTATTTTTATTATAAAATAAAAAAATATGATTGATGTTTTTGAAAATTAAATTGTTTGTTATGTTTTTTAATTTTGATTTAGTTTTTTTTTTATTTCATTTGTTTAAAGGATTTTTTTAATGTTTGTGTATGTGATTTTTAAATGAAAGTTTTTTTTTTAATATATATATTTTTACATCTAACTAAGACGTTTTTAATGGCTTTAGATAACATTTTTTTTTTCCTTATTTATTTTTTATATTTAAATATCTTTTATATTTTTTTTTTTAATTGAAAAAAATAAAAAAAATAATTTTGTTTCTCTTCTATAAAATAAGAGATGGAAAAAAGGATTTATATATATTAGATAATTAAAAATAAAAGAAATAAATAATTTTATTTTTCTTTTATAAAATAAGTGAATAAAAAAGGATAAATACATATATTCAAGAATAAATGAATTTATTTATTTTATATTATATTTTTATATTTTAAAATATATAATATATATTTTTAATATATTTAATATATTTAAATTATTATATATTTTTAAAAAATTTTTTGATTTTAATTTAAATAATTTTTATCTTTTTAAAAGTAATAATTAGATTTAAAAAAAATATATATAATATAACTAAAAATTTTATTAAAATACTAATTATTATATATTAATTTAATATAAAATAAAATAAAATCTAAAAATAAAAATTTATTAATATTAAATATATCAAAGAAATATAAAATATTTTATATTATATATAAAAATAAATCAATAAAAAAAACTAAAATGTTGTTTAAAAAAAATTAAATATTTTGTTTTAATTTAATATATAGCAACGATTTAAATCAAAAAACACATAAATTAAATATTTTTTAATATATTTAAAAATAAATAGTCTTCATATATATTTATCTATATATTAAAAATATATTTTTTAATATTAATAGTTATTTATAAATAAATGTCTGGTTACCTAAGTTAATCGTTAAGTAATTTATCGGAAGAAATAAATGAAATAAAGAAAAAAATATAAGTAGAAAATAATTAAGAATTAACTTAATCATAACTAATAAAACAAAAAGAAGAAATATAAAATGAAATTGATAAAATAGAAATTCATTCTTAATAAATGCTTATATTTAAAAATCATTAAAACAATAAATTTTTAGAATAAGAAGAAAACAAAAAAGAAGAATAAGAATAATAAGAGTAAAAAAACAATAAAAAATATAAAAGTTTAAATTAAATATTTGTTGAAAATATAAATGAATTTCCTTTAGAAATAAACATTAAATATGAAATGGAACATCTTTTTTAAAACGAAATTTTAAAAAAGTGGAAAAATTTAAAATAATATAAGTATTTTAATTTTTTATGTTTTTAAGAAATTATTCTTAATTTTAATAAATTAATTTTTTGGTTAATTTTATTTGAAAAATTTCCTTTTATTTATAAAAATATTTAAGTAAATAAAAAATAATTTTATATTTATATATATATATACATATATATATGAAATAAGATTTTCAAAAATCTAAAAGATTAAATAAATTACTAATACACAATACTTATAAATAAACTTCCTAATCCAAAACATATATATAGTGAATGTTTATTATTTGTAATGACATATAATGTAAATAAAATAATTTATGAATAATTTTCGTAAGAAAGAAAATAATTTAATTTAAGATTTGTATTAGATATTTATCATTTTCTAATTTAGTTTTTTAATGGAGTTTAAACAACAGATTTTTATATTTAGACTTAAATAGATAAGATTTTTAGTAATAAATTTATGGATTATGAAAAAGCTTAAAATTAAAATAGATAATTATAATATAAAAAAAAAAAAATGCAAAAAATAAAAAAAATTTTTGGTCAAAATATAGAATAAAAAAATCCTTAAAATAATGAATAAAAAAAATTAATCTAACAATTTAAATAAATAAAAGAAAAATATTAAGATAAAAATATATAAAAAGATTAAAAAGAAAAAATAAAATTCGACATAAAAAATAATAATTTAACTAATTAAGGAAGTCCTTAAAAAATATATTTTTAAAGTAAATTCAAATAAATAGAGAATTCTTGTAAAAAAAATGAAAATGATTCATCATCATAATCATCTTATAATTAAAATAATAACAATAATAATAATAATAATAATAATAATAATAATAATAATAATAATATTTATAATTATAATATTGGTTATAATTAATATCAAAGTATTTTATTTTTAAATTAATAAATTTAAATTTTATCAAATTATAAAAAGATAAAATTATTAATACATAACATGCAATACCTTAAGTTGATTCATCTTTTTAAAATTTATGTTCTCCTACTATAAAAAAAACTTCTCGTAAATTTATTACTAATATTAGATCACGTTTTAATTTAAATTAAGTTAATTTCTTTTTATTTAATTTTATTCATATATTGTCTTTTAATTATTTTTATTTTTATAAAAAAAATAAAGATTTCTCCATCTGTTGCTTTTCAAATTAATTAAAATAATTAAACTTTATAATATAAAAAGAAATAGGTAATTTCTCATCCAATTTATAGAATAATCGAAAATAAAAATATAGTTTAGCAAATGGAAGATTTAAAAAGTTAACGATAAATAATAATGATATAAATTGAAAAGAAATCAAAAGAAATCTTAAATTAATAATAAAATTATGTTCATTAAAATTAACCTACTAATGAAAATAAAAATTCTAATTAAAAAATGTAATTACTTTCAATTTAATTTTTTTTATTTTTTTATACAAAATAAGATTAGTTTAAAGTATCTAATAAAATATGCTTATAAATAAATCAAGAAATAATAGTTTAGAAAATAAAATTAAAATAATAAAATTATAACATTAAAATATGATCAATATAAAATAATTAATAGAATAATAAGTTTATAAAGAAAACGAATTGTAAGATGATTTTTTACAAATATAAAAGCACTAATATTGTTTAAATAAAAAAGACTAAATCATTTAATAGGAACATAATTTATAAGTAGATAAAAAATAAAATTAACATCAAGAAAATAATTAATAAATAAACGTACCTTTAAAAAAAATAATCAAGACTAAATATAAAGTAAATAAGAGTTAACAAATAATTAAAGTAGCGAAAATGAATTATTGAATTCAATTATATCATAAGATTCATAAAAATAAAATTACTTTATTAAATAAACAAATATTTATTAAAATTAAAAAAGTACAAATTAAAGCTTTCATAGTCATAATTCGTTAAAAAATAGTAAAAATTTATTTGATTAGAATTAATTGAAAAAAATATTAAATTAAAGTATACATCTTTAGTAAAAATATTCATAAAATTAAAAAAATTTAAAAGATGGTGGTTTAATTATAGGATAAACATAAAAAATATATAAAAAAATATTTCAAGCCTTTTAATTTTGTAAAATTTTAAATAAAACAAATTAAGTTTAAACATAGAAAAGAAATTAAAATATTCAATATGATGTTTATTTAAGAGAAAATAATAATTTATAAAAGTTTATAGATTTAGATGAAGAAAATTTAAAATTATATGACAAAAATAACGATTAAGTTTAAAAAAAAATAATGTTTCTCCAAAATAAATTTAGGAAAAATATAAATAAATTTTACTTGTTTGAAAAAAAAAAAAAGATAAAAATAATTATTTTAAAATTTTATTAATAAAGGAAAAAAATTAAGATTTTATATTCTTTTTTTAATTTTTTGTATATATATAAAAAAATTTATATACAATAGAATTAAAATAATTTTATATTATTATTGAATTAATTTAATTATTATTTATTTTTATAAATGTTTATTAATTAATTATATATATATATATGATTGTATATTTATTAATCTATTTTTTTATATAATTAAAACTATGATTATTTAATTAAAAAAAAAAATATCGAAATTTCGATAAATAAAAATTAATTATTATTATTTATATATTAAGATCAATTTTTTTTTCAATATATACTAAAAATAAGCATAATAGATTTATTCAATATTATAATTATAATATTATTACTTATAAAACTATTTTTTTAATCAATAATAAGTATGATAAACGAAAAATATTTAACTCAATTCTACCTAATAAAAACATTAAAGTAATAGACTTTAAATAGTAGATAGTATATTTTTTATAAACAAATAATATTAATATTAGAAAAATATAACTAAATAATAAACTTTAGAATAAATAACTTTATTAAAATAAATTTAAATTTTCAATCTAAAATATTTAATTTTTACAAATAAAAAGTTTGAAATTATTTAAAGTTAAATATTTTTTTTCAATTATTTAAAAATAATATTTATAGCTCATATTAATATTTATGTAATATTTCTAAAAAAATTTAACATTAATAATAAAATTATCATAGTTATTTATTTAAAAACATATTATTATTATTATATAATATATAAAATAAATATAAATTCTTATAAATATGTTTTTATTTGAAAAATCTATAAATTATTTAAAATATAATAAAAATATAATTATATTTATTTATATAAATATAAAAAAATATAATTTATATTTAATTATTTTTTTTAATAAAAAGAATTTATATAAAATACCATAATTTTAAAAATATTAACATTTTAAATATTTTTAATGAGTTTTATATCATAATTATTATGTTGTTAAATTATGAAATAAAACTTCATACTACACAAGAAAAAAAATTAAATTAAAACTATATATTTTTTCTAATACGTATTAATTTAATTAATTTTATATATTTTTTTACGTTTTATAAATTATAATTATTTTAAATAAAAAATTGATATTTTTATAAAGTTTACTTTAAAATAAAGGAACTTAAATTATTTAAGTTTTATTGTTAATAATCTATACTTTTATATATATATCGTTTTGTCTTAATATTATATATAAATTATTTAAGCAATAAATGATATTAATATAATTTAAATATTATATTATATCAATTATTATATATATTATTTTTGATATATAATTAATATTTATTATTTATAATATTTTTGAATGAATTTTCTATTATTTTAATAATTTTTCTTTTTTTCTTTAAATCATAAATAATTATAAATATATAAAATATAAAAAAATAAATATGTATCTAATAAATATTAAATATAAAATTTTAAAGTAATGCAACATTATTTTATTAAATTGATTAAATAAAAAATCATTTAAAATTATATTTTTTATTTTTTTTTTAATAAAATAAAAAACATAAAGAAAAACATTATTATTAATATTAAAATAATTACTTTACTATATATAATTAAATAATATTAGAGAAATTATATTATTATTAAATTTTTTTATAATCTATTAAAAATTATAATCTTGTAATAATTATATATAATACATTATATAGGTTATATTATTTTTATTATATAATTTTTATCTTAACATTAAATAATAAAATTAAATAACTATAAATTATTGTTAAATGTTATTTAGTTATACATATTTTTATAGTTATTTTTATATTATAATAAAAATTATTATAAAGCAATTTAGTAATTAAGTGGGAAATTTTAATTGATTATATATTATTATTAAAATATAATAATTTTTGTATTATAATTATAATATAATATTTTCTATTTTATCTTAATTATATTATAAAATTTTATATAAAAATTAAAAAAATAAACACACATAAATTATTATAATTAATTATAAATTAAATTTTTTTTATAAAAAAAAAAAAAAAAAAAAAAAAAAAAAAAAAAAAAAAAAATCCCCCCCACAACACCCCACCAATTAAAAAAAAAAAAAAAACAAAAAAACAAAAAACAAAAAACAAAAAACCAAAAAAACAAAAACAAAAACAAAAAATTAAATATTGATCAATTTGCTAGATATATACTTTTATTTGAAAATGTGTTTTTGAACTCTTCAGAATTTTTTGATTAAGCTATGAAAATATCTTTGGATTTTTTTTGAATTTATATTTGATTAAGATTTTCAATTATTTGGTCTTGTTTTTTGAACATAGTTTATTAAGCTTTATTTTATTAAAAAAAAAACGAAAAAAACAGAAAAAAAAAATGAAAAAAACAGAAAAAAAAATGAAAAAACAGAAAAAAATTTTATAAATAAACTTATTTTAGTTTTAAGATATATATATATATATAATATTATTTTATCTGCTCTTTCTTACCCTCTTGTTAATCTAGTAATTTATATTTTTTAATTTTTGCTTTAGAATTCTATAAAAAACTTTTATATTCTTCTGATTTATACTCAGGCTTATTTATTTTATTATTCTTACAAAAAACATTATTTAGAAAAAAATAATTATTTATTTTTGAAAAAGAATAGTTCTAGAATTTTTAACTTTTTCTATTATTAATATTTCCTTAAGAATTTTTTTTTATTGATTTTATTGATTTACTCATAGATTTTATATGTAATGATTTATTTTCTTTTTAATTATTAATTTTAAATTTGCTTTTTTGAATACTTTGCATGTTTGTATTGGGCGTTCATACTTTTCTCTTTATTTTATTTTAGGAAAATTTTAAAGCTTTTCTTTTTAGATTTGGCAAAATTCTTGTAAATCTATTGTATGCTCGCTTATATTTCTAATGAGGTTGAAAAAGCTTTTTTTTAGACTTTAAATCGTACTTCTTTTTCATCATTTTTAATTTAGAAAAGAATTTTTATTATAGCTTTATATTGGAGTTCTTATGTTATAAAGAAATAGAATATATATATAATAAATATTAAATTTATTATTATTAAATATTTCTTATTATGTTGTGTTTTTTTTTAAAAAATTTTACAAATTTTTATTATTTATTTAATAATTTTTTAATTAAATTATATTTAATTTATATAAATAATTATTTTATATATATATATATTAATTAGCATTATAAATTGTTAAATAAACATTTAAATAATCTTTAAACCTTTTATTTAAAATATCTAAAATTTATTTATTCTCATGTTTTATTTAAAAACTTTTATTCTTTTAAATAATTTTTTGTTTAAAATTTTAATCTTTAAAATGAATAACATGTTTTTTTTATTAATATATTAATGAGAAAATAATAAAAAATTTTACTGATAAAATTGTTTAATAATTAATTGTAATTTTTTGAATTTTTTATATATTATTTTTAGCGGCTTTTTTATTTGATTAGTATTTTATAAGATTTTGATATATTTTTTTATTAAAAATAAATTTTTAGCTTATAATTAGTTATAAATTTAAAATAAATAAATATAAAAAAAAAAAATATATAAAATGGTTAAAAGAATTAAATCTATAATGTAAAAGAAAAAAATTTAAAGGACTAACTCTATAAAAGAGACAATACAATAATCAAAAGAATACTTAAAGCAACATAAATAAAAATAATTATAAAAAAAAGGATATATTACAAGAAGTTATAAAAATAAATAATTTTATTCTAAAAAATAATATATAATAAAAAAAAATAGGTGGTAGATTATCTAAAAAAATAGTGGATTTATCTAAACCAAATTAAATTAAAAGGATAAAACAAATACTAAATATAATAAAGACTACTACCTTTAAAAATAAGTCCAAATAAAAAAAGTAATCAATATAAAGACAAAAAACATCTTAGTCAATGAAAAATAACTACAACTAATAAAATAATAACTTTTAAAATAAAAGAAACTCAAAAAATCCGAGTTGTTAAAATTCCTTAAATAATAAAAAGAAATTAGAAGACTACATTAATTTTGAATAATTAAGGGAGTAAGAACAAGAAATGGACTAATATTATAACTTCAAGGAAAAATTTTTAGGAAAAGAAGGAGCCTTTGGTGAATTCAAAGTACTCATAGGTTTTTTCAGCGAAAGTTTTTGGGGATTTGATAAAAATGCACTCCAGGAGTTAAAAAGAAGAGGCTTTAGATATGATTTAGTAAAAAAAGACGAAGAATTTATAACAAAATTAAACGATTATGATATCGCATGGATAATTGATGTTAATCCTATAGATTAAAAGAATTAAGAAAAACTGATTTTAGAAGTAAAAAATTTTTTGATAATAAAAAAAGTTTATTTTTATGGTCTGATAATGATCCTCTACATTATAGATCTAATATAATTCTTAAACATTTTTTTAATGGAATGTATTTATAAGGAGATTATTACGGGGATAAAATTCTTACAGGAAGCGAAAACTTAGTATAAGGTACTTTTGATAAAAATCATCCTATTTCATATGGAGTTAATAATTTATATGAAGGAGTTACTATTTGTCATCCATAAAAAATTCATAATGATTTCAAAGTTTATGCTTATAATTCTAATAATTAACCACTTGTTGTGTATTCAGAAGCAAATGAATGGCACGGAAGAATTATTGTTGATTGTGGATTCACTAAACATTGGGATGGCTATTGGTAAAAAGCTGGATAGCATTAATATGTATCCAATGCAAATGTTTGGTTAACATGATTACCTATTTGATTAAAATTAAATATATATGTATATATAATTATATATAAATACTATTATTTTATTAAATATTTTATTATAAAAAAATTATTAAATTAATTGTTTTTACAACAATAATTTTATATTTTAAATTATTTAGATTGTAATTGAAACTTAATCTAAATATTTAATATTAAGGAAATTAAATTATATTTTATTAATTATTAATATAAATATATTATTATTTTATTTTATTAATAATTTTATATTTTATAATTATTTGTATTCGTTATATATTTATTATTTATTTTATAAACAAATATATATATTTTTTTTATTTATTTTAAATTATATTTATTTATCTAAAAATTTCATTAAGTTTTTCTTAAATTTTTTGTTAATTTGTATTTTTTTAATTATATATAAAAATGTATATACTATTTTTATATTGTTGTATTTTTATAATTCTTTTTTTTATTTTTTATCTCTTCTTATTTTATTTTATTATTATTTTTAATTTTTTTTGTTTAAATTAATTTTATTGAATATTTTTTAAATAATAAAAGTGAAAATATAAAAAATATTATAATAAATAATATTTAGATTTTTTTTATTAATCAAACTTTTATTATTGAAATTTACCATATAGATTTATGAATATTAATTTTCTATTATCATTATTTAAATTATATGAGAAAAAAATCTTAAAAATAATAGTTTATTCTAAAAATAATATTTATATTTTAGCTAATTTGCATTTATTTTTAAGATCGGATTTAAAAAATATATTTATATTATTTTATTATATATATAATTATTATATATTTAATTTTAATTAAAATTTTTTTTCATGACATCTTCTATTATATTTTCCATTTTTTATTAGATCTATACTTTTTTTGATAATTGATTCTTAAAATTATTTTTTTGGATTATTATTTTTAGTCACAAATATTTAAAAACAAACTTTTTTAGACAACATTTTTTCATTTTAATAATTTTTATAATTTATGATAGTAAAAAAACACTTAAAATATTATATATATATATAAATGACTTATAGCCAATTTAATCATTTAATAAGTAGTAATAATTTATATTGAATAAATTTATAATTATTATTAAATACCTATTTCTTAATTTAAATTGTTAATATAGTTTAATTGTTTGTAAATCTTTTTTTCACCTAAATAGATATAAATGAATTCATAAAAATGCATATAAAAAAAATAATAATCCTAAATAAATTCAATTATATATAAAATTAAAATATTAATAATATAAGAAATAATAAATATATGATATTTTAAGTCTTAATTATATTTAATCAAATATTTGAAATAAAAATTGCTTATGTAACATTAGAATTAAAAAAAAAATATAAAATAAATTAAAACTAAAATCCATATTTAAAGTTTTAATAGTTTTTTAAATTAGTAATAATAAATGAAGAAAATAATTTATAATTAAATAAAATTTTATTAATAGTAATTATTATGAAAAAGTTTTTGTAAAAATTTTAAATTTGTATATCATTATTTTATGTATTTTTTAGAATAATTAACAATATATTATATTATAAATAATATATATTAACAAAAAAATAAAAATAAAAATTAAAAATAGGCAATAAAAATGAAAATTTTTTTAATAGAATATCTATTATTATTAATAGATTGTACATTTTTTTGTATATATTATATTTAAAATGATTATAATAAATATTTTTTTTCTTAGTATTTTATATATATAATCAATGTAAATAATCAATATAATATTAAATAAAATATATTATATTATTCAATGTTATATATTAATTATGTTTATTATTATTTATATTGTTAAATAAGGTATTTATATTTAATCTATTACATAATCTATATTTTTATTAAACAAATTATTTTTTATCCATTTTATATATTAAGATATTTATATTGTTAATTTATAAAATAAATGTAAATTTATAAAATAAATGTAAAGTTATTATAAAAATTAATTTAAAAAATTCAAAATTTATATATATTAATTGAGATGTATTCATTAATAAAAATATTATTGTTTCTATGAAAATTTAAAATTATTTAATTTTAATAAATGTTTATATATTATAATAATAGAAAATCAAATAAATATCTATTAAAATAAATCATATAAACAAATATAAAATAAATTATTATATCTACAATATAATGTATAAATTATAAATAATTAAAATAAAAAAAAATATAATAGTAAAAAATAATAATATTAAAAAAAATATTTAATAATAATTTATATGAACATATATAAAAAAATTAATTTAAAAAAAAATATATAATATAAATGTGATTATTTTTATTTATTTTAATATAAATCTTTATAATTTTTTTATAGATAAAATGTTTGTGATAGTAAATATAATAGAATTAAAATTTATAAATATATATTAAATTGAAAAAATGTATTAAATATATTATGTATAATTTAATGTATGATATTTCTAAATATTAATTTAAAAAAATTGAATAAAATAATATAATTTTCATAGATAAATTAGAAATAGATAAGTAAATTTTTAAATATATATATATATATATATATATATATATATTTTATATATATTGTTTTCTTTTTTTATTTTATAATATATAATATTTTTATTTAAAAAAAAAAATAAAAAAAAAATGTAAAAGAATAATTATTCTTGTGTATAAAAATATTTATAAGCAACATCAATAATAAATTTATTAATTGCAATATCAATATTAATATTTGGAATTTATCTTTTAGTTTTGACTATTAAATTATTTTAAAACTCTGATTTAAATGATTCAATAATATTTGGTGCTTTATTAGTACCAATTGGTATATTATTATTATTCAATGGAATTTTTGGTATATTTTCAGCTACTAAAAAAACTAAATGCTGTTCTTTTATGTTTACTCTTTCTTATATTATTGTTTCATTAATATTTTTAGGTGTCGGTTTTGGCACTTTGGCTTTGAAATTAAAATTTTATTAAAATATTTAAAATTATGATTGTTAAAGTGATAATAATAAAATTGAGAGTTTTATTAAAAAAGCAGAAGAAGCTTACTCTTATGCTTCTAATATATTATGTACGAACGCTTGCATATGTTATATACCTTCTAGTAGCTAACATTGGGCTTAAGCGAACTTTATTTCAGCTGGATATAGTACTTCGGATTAAAAATTACCTTAAAATATATAAAATTGTTAGGGTTTTGATAAAGAATATGATAAATAAGCTAAATGGTTGTAAATTATGGAAACAAATTTAAGTTGCAGTGGAATATGTAATAAATAAAAAGTATACTATTTTAGTAAAGTTGGAAATAAAGAACCAAAATACGGCTGTAAAGAATAAATAGAAATTATAATTGATAAATATGGAACACCTGTATATGCAGTATCTATAGGAGTTGGAGCATATTTACTATTGAATACTATTCTAAGCTTCTTTTTATGTTGTTCTTCAAAAAATTAAGGAAAAAGTATTTATGAAAGAAATGATCCATATTGAAATAAAATGATATTTGAAATTTATAAATTTGTTATTTATTAAATTAAATATAATTAAAAAAATATAAACATAAATAAATATATATAAAAAAATATATATATATATATATATACATATATACATATATATATTTATTTTTTACATTTTGCTATTTACATATATATTTTATTAAATTATTTTTAGTTTAATAGATATTTAAAATCTTAAATAATTCATGAATTTAATAAAATTATAAATAAAAGATTTTCAAATAAAAAATAAAAAATATATATTAAAAATAAATAAATGTAATAAAATAAAATTATTTGAATATAATCTATATTTTTATTAAGATATAATTATTATAATTTTTATTAATAATTATAAAAAAAAAAAATATCAATATATTTATTAAAATAAATTATAAAATAATAAATTTAATATATTTTTTTTAATATATATTTTAAAAAATATTTTTATAAAAATAATTTTTAATATATAGTTTATATAAATATAAAATCTAAATTAATATTTAATAAAAAATAAATTAATGAATTAAATATTTTAATATTTAAAATTTATATATAAATAAAATATTATAAAAATACATATATTTATCAATAGTTTATAAAAAATTATTTTTAATAATATTTAAAAATATAAAATTTTGATATATTAAAAAAAATATTTTGGTACATATATATATATTTATTTTATTAAAATATATAAATGATAAAAAATAATTAAAATAATATTAAATTAAATATATAATATATTTATATATATAATATAATAATATATAATTTATGATTTCTTTTTTTATTTTTTCAATTAAATTTTATATTTATATTTTTTAATTAGTTAATTTTTTTTATTTATATTTTATTTAATCTCAATTTAATTTTTAAACTATAATAATTTTTTTTTGTTTTTCCTTTTTATTTCATAATTGAGAATTTTATATAATGTTAATAATTTTTTTTCTTTTTAATTTATATATTTGAATTAAAACATAATATTAATATAATCTTTTTAAATTTATTTTAAGGCATTTTTTTTATTTTTTGTAAATATTTACATAATTTTAAATTGTATTATAAATGCTTTTTTTTTTTTTGATACTATATCATTAGACATGTAATTAATTAAAATTCAAGAGTAAATATTTATATATATTGAATTATAAAATTTATTAACTTATTCTATTTTCTTTTTAACATAATAGTTTTTAAAAATATGTGATTTTTGAACATGCAAATATTCTAAAATCGCTATAATTTTTTTTTTATTTAATTCACATATATTTTGCATTTAAATTAATTTTTGATTTATAGATTTACATATTTAGGCATAAAATATATGAATATAGGAAAATATAAGATGCTAATTATATATAAAATATTAAATACAAATAGAAACATATTAATAAATACAATATCTAAAGCTATTTATAGTAAGCAAATTGATTTAAAAAATAGTATATATCTTAATTTTATGTAATGAATAATAAGAAAAATAAATTTATAAATGTGATTTTTTTCAAAATTTAATATTAAATATTATATATATATAAATATATATTTAAATATATATATATAAATATTTTTTCTTTAATATATATTTTTTTTTTTATAATATGTATTTTTATTTATATATCTTATAATATTTAAAAAAAAAACATATATTTTTATTAATATTTTTAATTTAATTAATCAATAAAGATTTATATAATAATAAATATATCATCATCAATTATAATTAATTTTAGTATCTATTTAAATATAAATTAAAAAATAAATTTTTATATAAATTAAGGAATTATATAATATTTACATATTTTGTTTTATTTTTAATATTTTTTTAATAAATAAGATTTTATTAACAAAATAAATAATATTTATCTATAATGCTTATATAAGAATCGAAAATTAAAAAAATCAAAAAAGTATATTATTAAGCCTCTTAAAATTTTGCACATTATTTTTTATCTTTTATATTCACTTTTGAAGTATAAACCGGAAATTAAATATTTCCTCTTTATTTTTAATAGTACAAAATATAATATTTTGTGTCTTAAAATATATAAAATTTTTCTTATTATGAAGTTTTTATTGTGTATATTTATATGTTTAAGATTATATTTAATTTAGTATGATTTTAATCTTTTTATATTATTTTTCATGAAAAATAAAAAAAGAAAAATAATAATTATAGACTAAATAAAGTTTTTTTAATTACTTTAAAATAAATTAAAATATTTAAATAATACTTTTTTAATATATAATTTTCAAAGTTTATTAATATATAATAAATATATTCAACAAAATTTTATATTAAAAATATATTTAAATTATTCAATAAATAGTTTTAAATGAATAACATATGTTATTATTTTATTTAGTATTAACTTAATTTTAATTATAATATCCATCAAAACCTAGTCTTTAAATAAGGTTTATTAAATAAGTATCATATTTAGAAATCCTTTTTTTTTAATAAAAATATGTTAATAAAACATACAAATATATATATTTATATATTTATATATATATATATATATATATATATATATATATACATATTATTAATTTAATTAATAAATTCTTTTAATTAAGAGTCAAAATTTATCTCATATTTTCCAACACTTTCATTAAATTCTTTTTCATTCATAATTTTTGTAATATTTTTTCTGTTTTACTTTATATATTATATATAATTATAAAAATATTAATTTTTTATAAAAATAAATTAATAATTACATTAATAATTTATTTCCTAGTTTAAATATAATTGAGTTTTTCATCAATCATAAAATTATTAAAATTATTATTTTATTTTTAATCAATTTTGAGATTATCTATATATTTTTAAATTGAAAGTGAAAATAGACTACATGTTTAATTTATTTTCTACAAAGTTTTTACTATATTTTGGTCTAAAAGTACACTTTCTTTTAAACATTAATCTAAAAAAGTCTCATGTAGTATTAAAATATCATCAAATTCTGAAACATTTTTTATATTATTAATAAATTTTGTCCATTTCTATTCTATAACCTCAAAACATATATAATAAACGAAATTTTTTACAAAATGGAGCATTCTGGATAATAAATAATAGCTTTTTTTAAAAAAATTAATTAAATTAAGTTCTTTAGCAGATTATATAAAAATCCATGTTTTACACAAATTTCTTTCAACAATTTTAAACTAAAATAAATGTCTGAATAATAATTAATATTTAGTCAAAGTTTTTCTGTTTAAAATTAAATTTAAAGGCCATTTTACATTATAATCTAAACTAAATAATTCAATACCTTTCGAATCTCTAGCTGGTATATACATTTTAAATTTTTCCTATTATTATTATTATAAAGATGAATTAGTATCAGAATAAGTTTTCTATATATTCTAATAAGCAAATAATTATTCACTTAATGTATATTAACTTATATCATAAGTAAGATCCTCTAAAAATATATCAGAAGATAAGCTTGATGTCCTTATAGACATTTCAAGTAAACTTTCCAGTTTTTCTTTAGATAAAAGTTAGGCAGGTTTTTAAAGTTCTTCTTCACAACTATCTATTAAATGAACAAAAAAGTCGCCTTTTTCTAAAAAGAAATAGTTTTTTAAAGATTAGAGTCTTTTAGGAAAATCTTATTCAACTATTATTAAACTAAATTTATATAATAAAGATAAGAAAATATTTTTTTACTTCATTATTTATTGATTTGCATATTTATAAGCTTTCATTATTGGTGAAGAAAAATCTGATATTTATATATATTATTCGTAATTTAATAATAAATCCATTTCATTTTAATTATTGATTATTTTACCCTAATATTCACTTAATACATTTAAATATTTACCTATAATATAATAAATATAAAATTTTATGAAAAATACAATTTTAAATTAATTAAAAATTATATATATATATATAAATATATAAAAATATAATTTATAATATATTTATTTATATTGTTATATATTATATATAATTATATATTTAATTATTTTTTATTAAATAATCATTAATTTTAGTAATATTAGAATATATTTTATATATTTATTTATTTTACTATTAAATTATATATATCATTAAATATTTTTAAATATATTTATATTTAAAAACCTGTTTTATAAATAAATTATATTTAATCTTATAAAAAAATAGGCTAATATTTCTCTAGAAGTACAAATTTTTTTTCCCAATAATTATCTTTATAATTTTTTGAAATCATATTTTTTTAAACTTAGAAATTTTCCTAAATGAAAAATTCTTAATATTGATCTTTAATCTTTCCTGAATATATCCAATAAGATAAAATTTCTGCAAAAGGTCCAAAACTTTTCTAAAGAACAAAATAATAAATATCTACTATTTATTTATCACTTTAACTTTTTAATAAACCAAAAAGTTTAGATAAGAGTTCCCCTCCTTTTGCATTTTCACATATTTGACACATTTTAAATATTCCTTCCATTATTTTCATTGACGGTTGTATATAAAACCATAACTTTTATAAACTTAATTGTCCTTTTTGAAATTCTCCATCTAATTAATTCACCATTAGTACATATTCTCTTAAAAGAATATTAATACATGCACAAAAAGCTTAACAAACTGTACCATATTCAAAAGAACTATGAGTTTCTGAAAAATACATAATTTAATCATATTAAATACATATTTCTAATATTTTATTAACTAATTATTTAAATGAAGGCTCACAACTAGTTTATTCTAAATAAGGTTCTATACAATAAATATAGGGAGGTTTTTATAATTAATCATATTTTTTTTTGATATAATTTCCTTCAATTCCAGTCATTACAAATAATAAATCTTCAATTAAATAAACTTCTTGTAATTAAGGAGTCATAGAACCTAAATTTTTTACTTCTATAGTTTTTTTCTTTTCTTAAATTTATTAATTTTATATAAATTATTGGGAAAATAAGTAAGGTTCACACCATTAGGGGATATATGGATAATTGCTTTTGGTGAATTTCCAAGTTGATTCAGGGGATATACTGGGCCCATTAGCGCTTATTTTTAATGTCGTTTAGAGGATTTGAGTATTATTAGTAGTTGTAGTGGGTTATTGGGTAGTTTCGCATATTAAATAATTTCCATATGGAGATTTTAAAACTATTTCGTCGTGAATATTTAATTAAGTTTTTGAATTTAAAGAATCTGGGTTATATATTGACCATTTTGCAGACTTGAAAGTTATACCATCTTAGAAATTCTCATCGAATTCAGGTTTTTCCATTTTTACTTCGCCATTTTGTAAACATATTAAGTAATATCCCTATCTTTATTTATATATATAATTTATATTTTACTTTTTATTGTAAAATAGTACGTGTTTCTTATTAATATTTAAGAACCAGATATTAAAGGTCCTGTATAATCCTTTTTTAATAGTTATTTTAATATATATTTTATTTTACTTTATTTTAAGGTTAAATTATCATAAATTCTTCTGATGAATCAGTGTCTTGGATTGAAGTATTAGATTTTAAAAAAGGGTGAGTACCAGAAAGAGATACTTTTTTATTGATTAATTAGTTTGCTTGCTTATCAAAAGAATAATAATGGCTTAAATATTTATTGTTTTTGATATTTTTTATGCCAATCTTTGTTTTTTTTTATTAAATAAATTATTTAAATTTTGTATTTTTTAAATTAATTAACTCTTTAGTAATATTAAACAATTAAACTATTTTCTGACATTTTATTTATTTGTGTTTATTAAAATTTAAGGAATTTTTTTTTTATATTGTTTTTATCTTATTTTTTAATAAATATAATTATTTTTTTATATTTTTAAATTTTTTAAAAAATTTTAAAAATCTAAATGATATATTAATTAAAAGAGTGAAAATCAAAAAAATAAAATTGCTTTCTTAAATAATCAAAAAATTAAATATTTTTATTTTTAAAGAAACTTAAATTAAATAATAATTAATTATATATGTAATTTATGTATTATATATTTATATATTAGATATTATTCTAATTTTATTTATGATAGATAAGTAGTTTATTTATATATTTTTATTTTAAAGTTTTAAATATATAAACTTAATTTAGTAAAAATATGAATATAATAGAAATTAATAGTTTAAAATCTATTTATATTTAAATATTGATATCAATCAATAAAATTTTATTCGAATATAAAAAAATTGTAAATTTATATTTTACATATATTTTCATATAATTTATACAGACTTTAATTAAAAATATACAGTTTTATATTGATATTTAAAAATTTATAAAAAATCTGTTAAACATAATGAAGATTAATAAATTTTTTTAAATATGTAATTTAATATGAATTAACGATTTATAATTTTTTTTATTTATATTAACAAAAAAATAATTAATTAATTTATTTAATTCGTATTTTTTAATAATTATTAAATTAAAATAATATAATGATTGAACCCGAGTATTGCTTATGAAGTTTAAAGATTAAAATATATAAATATCTCATTATTAAAATTTAAAATATTACTTTTTACCAATTTTTTTTTTAATCTATTTTTTTAAAAAAAATCAATTAAAAAAGGCCATATTTTTTTTTTTTTCTTTATTATGTTTTTTTTAAAAAATAGAAACAATAGTAAAATAACATTAAAAAGTAATATATTTTATTAAAAATATATGATTTAAAATTTTAAATTAATAATTTTATTATATTCTATTTACTTTATTTATAGATAAAATAAGAGTCATTATAAATTATATATATATTTTTTTTTCCATATGTAATTTTTAAGAATATTATTTACAAGATATAATTTTAATATATTTCTATAAATAAATTGCTTATATATTATTATTCTTTATATATAAATATGCGTAGTTGAATTATTTTTATCGAAGTAATATTTTGATTAGTTTACCTGAAAAATTTTAATTTATCTAAAAAAAATACAAATTAGAAAAATAAATATTATAAATTCTTATTTAAATAAAATTTGTATTTTTTATTTTTTTTCCAAATATTAAAAAAAAAATTAATGGAAAACGATTATATAGAGAATTTAAAAAAAGGATTTTCATTCAAACCAAAAAAAGTAATAATTTAAGAATAAAAAGAACAAGAAAAATAACAGAAGGAACAAATAAAATAACAAGAGGAATTAAAAAAACAATAATAAGAAATACAAAAGTAATAAGAAATATAAAAACAACCTTCATATTTCCAAAAATATCAACCTAAACGTTATGCAATAGATTTTATGTCTTCAAGTAGTAGTGATGAGGAACAAAAGAAATAAAAGAAAATAATAAAAAAAGAAAAACAAAAAAAAAAAAACAAAAGAAAGATAAAATGTAAAAAATATAAAAAAATGAAAAAAATATAATTTCAATCCCTGTAAACCAAGAAGAACTAGATTTATATTTTGATATAAAAAAAGAATATTATAAAAATCCAAATTTGTAAAAGAAATTTCTTTATAAATATAAAATTAATTAAAAATGCATCCCTTTATCAATTATAGATTTAGGAGATTAAAATATTTTAAAATTTAGAAGATATTTATAAAGTGAAGTACCATATTATAGATTAATAAATTTGTAATATAAAAAAAAATATATATATATAATATTTATATGTAAATATACAATAATAGTCCTATTGTTTTAGGTTTTATTTAAAATTAGTAAACTGCAGGATTATTTGATGATTTAAATAAAGATATAGGATTTACTAGTAATTATTAATTAAATTAAAAAAAGAAAATGCTTAAAATAAAAGGTATTATTATATAGACTATAATGAAGATAATAATACATATTTTTAATTGAAAAAAATAAATGATTTAAATACCGATTGTGATTTTGTTCCGTTTGAAGAAAATAAATAATTATACTAAAATAATTAGATAGAATAAATAAAAACTTAAAAATTAAACAATATTAAAGCTAAAAACAATATAAATAAATAAAATAAGTAAATAAAGAAATATATATAAATATATATAAATATGTATATATATATATATATTCTTAATAGTGATAATGATTTTTAAGATTTAAAAATTGATATTAATTAATTGAATAATGAAGAAATGGAATTATTTATATAAAATAAAGAATTTAACTAAAAGGTTAAAGAGTATCCAAACGATCCTTTTGTATGGATTGATTACATTAATTTATAAGATAGGAATGCTAAAAGTTTATAAAATAATTTCTCTTTATAGACTTTATAAGAAAAAAAATTAAGTATAATAGAAAAAGCTTTATAAAACTAAGATTTATAAAATAATATTATCCTAATTTTGTGCTATTTGAGAGTACTTTAAGATACTATTACTACTGATGACATATACAAAGTAATTGATGGTAAATATATGGAATATATTTCCAAAAATATATCAAATCTACTTTTATGGGATAATTTTTTGAATTTCAGATATTCTAGTTTACCTAAATTTTCTGTTTATCCTTTTTTTATATTTAAATAATATTTATATATAATTTTTTTAAAACAAAATAGGCAACTTTTTTTAGAGAATCTACATCTTAATTAATCTAATAAATTAATTAAAAATTAAATGAAAGTAAAAGTGTACAAGATATTTTAGTTTATAAAAAAATTCTACTTTTAATAATTAGAAATATTTGTTTTATAGAATAATAAGTACTATTATTTTTTTTAAAAAAATTAAAATTTATAATATACTATATATTACTATATTTTTAAATATTTATATATATATTTTTAATAATTTATTTATATTTTACTTTTAGATGGGTTTCAATGAAAGAAGTTTTGGAATAATTTAAGGTTTAATTGAATTAAATATCTTTTGCCCATAATAATATAAATTCGGAATTAGCCCTATTCAAAGAATTAATGAATTTAAAAATTTCTGGGAAAAATATTCTTATTATAAAACAGGGGAATTATTATCAAATTGCGGATGGCAATATTAGTAAATAAATTATAAATTTTTTTTTTTGCTATATATAAAAATTAAAAATAGTGTAGAAAATAATTAAATTTAATATAATATATAAAATGAATCATTTATAGGAAATTACAATAATATAAATAATAAATTAACACAAATGGATAAAACAAACTGGATAGAAATCGAATAAAAATTAAATGATGAAATATGGAGATCAGCAAACACTAATCATGATTAAAAATATATCTAATATACAAGCGACTCTATAGTTCTTTTTGAAGACATAAGTAAATTTTTAGTGATTTTTAATGAATAAGAATCTTAAATAAGCTTGATAAATATAATGTTAGAAGGACTTGGTTTACCTCCAGTAAATGATAATATATTCATAAGTAGCGAAAATAAGGCATTTTCTAATTTTTATTATTAAAAGAATCGAGAAATGCTAATGAATATATAAAACTATTAAAATTAATATGAAAATAGTTACCAATATTGTGATTGTGATAGATTAGATTTACTAAACAAATTTTTCGATATGAAAGAAGAAGCATATTTCTTCTAAAATAAAGAGAAGAAGTTTTAATAAATAGAATATATAAGAAGACTTTTATATTAATTATAAGAAAAACTAAATAAAGAAAGTATTTTAATCTATATAATGTGGATAGAAGGACTTTTTTATCTAAATAAATCTACTAATAATATAAATAGTGAAAAAGAAACTAAAAATAAAATAAAAAATATTTTGTAAAAAAACTAAAATTATTTAAGTTTATGGATTATTTTCGCCGAAATAGAATTCGAGAAAGATCAAAATATAGAAAATATAGAAAAAATATTTGATAATATATATACGTTTTTTACTTAAAATAAACATAATAAATGTAAAAATAAGCTTATTGTGCTTTATTTTTGGAGTATTTTTTATATAAGAAAGAGTTATTTTTCGGAAAAAAATGATTTATTAAAAAAAGTGTTCCAAAAATTAATACCTTTCGAAAATTTAAATAATTTTATTTTATAAATAAAACGAGAACTTTAATAATAAATTGTAAACGAAAGAAAAAAATTAAATAATTCTTTAATTCCAAAACTAAAAAATAAAACTTTTAAAGTCTTTCCTTTATCAAAGAAATCAATTTATACCTTTTTTTTAATACTATCATCTTTTATATACTAATAAGAGTTTAATAACGAATATTAGGAATATTTTGATTTAATTGAATAAGTAAATAATGAAAAAATAAAACTATACGATGACTCAGAAGTATATTTAAAATTAATCCGAAAATATTAAAACGAAATGCAATTATTATATATGAATATTTAAAGAATTCAAAGTTTAAAAATAAACACTAACCAATCATAATTAAATCAATAAAAAATTATATTATATAAACATGTTTTGTAAAAGTTTCCCTTTTTTAGTGTGGCTATTATAGAATTAATTATAGCGAATCGATAGGAAAATATCAGGATTGAAAGACTTTAACGTTTAAAAGAAGTTCTTTAACAAAAAAGTTTGTTTTATTCATATTGGATATTAATTTTATTTACAGAAATAGATTAAAATCTATCTTTTAAAGAAGTCTTAGGTTAATTAATTAGATATTATTTTAATGAAGGGCTAAAAGATTCGAATTTAATTGATAAATAAATTTAACTTTTAAACAAGTTTAGGTAATAGAATATTGGAATAGAATCTACTAGTGATTATTTTAACCAAATTTTATTTCTTTAATTGTATAATATTTTTTCGATGTAATTCGAAAATAATAGGGTTAAAAATAGGACTTTGTAAATGCTTAAAATAGCTCCTTTTTGTAAAGTAAAATATTTTGTTATTCATATTATTAATTTTATTTAAAATAAAAAAGTAAATTTATTTGCATTAATTATAAGTAAATGAACAAGATAATAATAAAATTAAAGAAGTATTGTTTTAAAAATAAATAAGATTAATTTATGATAATTTATTATGATTTTTATTTTTATTTTTATTTTATTTTAAAAAATAGATAAAAATATATTTATGTTTAAATAAATTAAAATTTTATATTATTTAATTATTTTTTTAGATATTTAATAATATATAAAAAAAATCATAGTAAGTATATATTTATTAAATTAAATAGTATATGTATAAATATATATATATAAATATATATATATATATATATATATATTATACGAAGTTATACGAAGTTATAAACAATCCCACTCATAATAATACGACAACTTCTAAAAAGCATAACATATTAAATATCATTATTTTAAATTTCTCCTTTAGTTTCAATAATCCCTGACCCATGTCCTATCCTAATAATACTCTTTTAATTATTTTATTTCCTAAAAACTTACCCACAAACCGTATCTTTAAATTATAAACAAGTAGTTAAAGCCACAGCCCCAGTAATAGGAATCGCATGATGAAAATCTCCCATAGACAAATACCTAGCTAAAACATCAATATTTTCTTTTTTAATATCCCTTCCAGCAGAATCTATATAATCTATAGAATCTGAAACCACACAAATTTTTGGATAAGTTTATTTTAATTTAGCACTTTCTATATTTTAAGTAATTCCCATTAAAACACTAGCTTAGCATCTAATATTTTCTAATTTTTACCTTTTTTAAAAAAATTAAAAAAAAAAAAAAATTTACTTTAAACTTTCTTAACTATTTAAAAAATTTTTATTTTCTCCAGCAAAAATATTCAAATCAGAATTTTTTACAAAAACAGAAGGAATTCCAGAATCAACCAAAGTAACCTAAACTCCATCAATAAAATCAATTAAATTTCCACTCGGAAAAATTTCCTTACACATACTTTTTCCTGGTTTAAGGAATTTCAGTCCTACTTTAAGACCTCCAAAAGCTACCCCATCAATGAAATAGGTATAATCTTTAAAATCTTCAATTTACGCTTCTATGCATTAATCTATGGCTTTCTAATACATTTTATATAGGTTTTTTTCCTAAACTAAACCTGAATGTACTGCAAATAAAGGAACAGCAGATGATAAATTACCACAGTTTCCACTAAAATCTATTTGATTTTTATTAATTGATACTTATCCAAATGTATATTCAAAATCAATTCCTTTATATTATGATTTGTTAACTATTATTATTTTGCTTGTTGATGATGTGGCGCCGCCAATACCATCGATTTGGTTTTTATATGGGTCAGGAGATCCTAAACTTCTTAAAAATATGTGGTTTCTCTCTTAGGGACATTTGGGGAGGTCTGATTCTAAAAAAAATAAACCTTTACTTGTTCCACCTCTTATTAAGGTGGATCTTATTTATTTTTAAAGCATAATTATTTTGAAAAGAAGTATAATTTTCTTATGTAAATATTTTATTTATTTTTGGAAAAAAATGAGATAGTATGTATTTTATGTTATATGATATAAATAAAATATAAAATAATAAAGAAAAATAAATTATAGAATTATTGATTTTATTAAAAAAAAAAAAAAAATTATATATAGATATATATATATATATAATATATATATATAACATATATATTATATTTTTGCCATTTTTTTTATTTAATATATATTTTTATATAATAATTATATTTTTTTATTTTATGTTATATTTAGTATTAATTTTGTGTAAATATTATTAATCTTATTATATATTATAATCACCTATTTATAAAATACATACATCTTTAAAAATTTAATAATTTTTATATTGTATGAAAATATAAATATTTATTTTTTCTACAATCTTTATTATTTAATTTTTTCGCTTAAATATTTTATAATTTAAATAGTATCATTAATACTTAATATTATTTAAATTTTATTTATCTTTTTTTAATTCTGATTTAATTTTTTTTTAAAATAAAATTAAACATCATAATTTTATTAAAAATATTCTTCCTTGAAAACAAAATAAAATAATTATTATTAATAGAAAAAAATATTAAATGAACAATTTGTTATACATACAAATATATTTCAAATAAAATATATATAATTTGAGTTAATAAAATAAAAATTCAATTAATATTTATATTATATTAATTTTAAAAATATAAAAAAAAAAAAAATTTGTTTAATTAATTAAGGGTGTGAGTAGGCAATAATGCCTTCCAGAAATTGGGACCCGACTCATTGAGTCGTTTCCACATATTGAAGTAGTTTTCAATTAGCAATCATAGCGCATCAGTTAACCGTCACTTGCTGCTATATTGCCCCTGACGCGAGGTTAAAAGAAATACTAAAATGCAAATTTGATAAATATTTATATATGATATTATAAAAACCAAAATTATGGGTTTCTTAAAATAATATTAATAGATTTTTTTATTTTTCTTTATTATTATGAATATATAAATAAATATTTTTTATTTTTTTAAAAAATATTATTATTTTTATTTAATATTTTTCTATTTTAAAATAAATTATTATATTAATTATATATTATATAAAATATTTTATTGTATTTTTAACATGATTTTTATATATATTTTGACATTATATTATATATTATTTCATTAGAAAAAATTATTAATTTAATATTCTATTATTATTATCAATTAGAATTTATATCTTGAAAAAGCCAAGGTCAATATTCAAATTTAATGTTATTAAATCCATTTTTAAAAATAATATTATTAAAAATCTTATTTTAAAATTAGTTAATATCAATTAAAATTTATTTTTTCTTCAATATAGCTTATTATTTTAGTAATTTATCACACTTAACTATTAATTAAAATTAAATAATCTATTAGATAAATGTAAATGTTTATTATACAGTTTTTTTTTAAAAAGGTGTATATAAATTTATTCATAATTTTCTATAAATTTTATTTTTCTTTTTTAAAAAATAGTAATTATTAAATATACTTATTAATAATGATAACTTATTTTTAAATATAAATTCACTTTAAATTATTTAAAAAGTATTTTTTAAAATTTAATTGATAAATTTTACACCAAAAAAAGTGTAATTGTCTAATTAATATATACTTAATTATAGTGATTTTAACGACTATTTATAAAAAAAAACAATATAAAACATTATAATATAGTATTTATAAAATATTAAATATGAAATTTAAAATTAATATAAATAAATTCGACAACAATGTATTATTTTAGTATATTAATTTTATAGAATAATTATTCTGAAGATAATAATTTAAATCTATAAATTTCTAAAAATAATTTTTTATTTTTCAAACATCTTTTTTTCTTATTTAAAAAAAATATTAAATTAATTTAAATTTAAAAAAAAATAAAAATTGATTAAAAAATTGATTTATTAAATATAAAATAATTATAATGTATTTTTATTATTTAAAAATATAAATAATAAAAATAAAATTAAAATAAAAAAATATAAATAAAATAAAAAAAAAATATTCAAAAATAAATAAAAAAAATAAAATAATTGTTATATTTATATAATTTCTTTAATCTCAAATAATATATATGTATTTTTTAAAAAAACATAAATAATCAAATTTCAAAAGACTATTCTTTATTATTCAATTTTTATTCCTGCATTTTTAAGTCCCCTAATTACCAATTCTTCATATTCATCAAGTGAAACAGTTCCATCATTATTAGTATCTGCCATTTAAAGCCATATTCTAACGTCTTCAGTATTAGGAGTATAATTATTCATACCCATTTCCGCAAAAGTATCCTTTATCAATCCTGAAATTTCATTATCATTCAAATACCCACTTCCATCACTATCGTATCTTTTAAAGAGTCTTCTAGCTACATCTAATTTTTTTTCTACGTCGGGTGTATAAACAGGTTTAGCTGACCTTTTAACATTCTCCTATCTAAATCTTTTCTTTACCTTCTCAAATTCTTGCCCATCTTAAATTTATTAAGTCTATTATTATGCACCACATAGATATCTAATACAAAGATCTTCTATTATCTTAATAAGTAACAATCCCGTCTCCGTTTCTATCTAAAACTCTATGATAAGATTTAATATCATCACTTGAAGGAGAAAAATATTAATTAAATGATTTGTATGCTTCCACTATCATTGGAACACAATCTACATTGTCAAGTCTTCCTTTACGACCTTTGTCGTAATTGTCAAATAGTCTACGGGCTACAGCTTTAGCGCCTTCTAAATCAGTTAAGCCGTTGTGGGATGAATATCCGGATGATCTTAATGTTTAGGAATTGAATGCCATTTTTTATTTTTTTTTAATTTAGTAAAATATTATATTATATTTATTATATATAATTAATTATAGTTTTTTTATATATTATATTAAAATAAATTATTATTTATAATTTTTTTAGTATATATTTTATATGTAAATATTATTAATTTTAATTTAAATAAATAAAAAATTATATTATATATAAATGTTTTATCAAAGTTTTATATATAAAAAAAATGTATTTAAGTTTCTATTCATAAAAATATTTTTATATAGCTTTTTAATATAATATAAACATCTTATGTCAAATAATTTAATATTATTATATTTGTAAGATTTTTAAAATTAAAAATATATTGATAATTAATTAATCTCTATTTTTCTTGTATTTTTTTAAATTTTATATTTTCTAGAAAAAAATGATTTATTATTATAAATAATGATTTATAAATTAATTTACTAATAAAAAATTATTAACTTAAATTTATAATATAATATGAAAATCCTTTATATTAAATATTAAGATTTATATAATAATCATAATAAATAATAATAAACTTATTTTATATTTAATAATTAATTAATTTAAAATAATTTTTTTCCTATTGCTTGAAATTTTATTTTTACTAAAATAAAAATTAATAATTGAAAATCAAATAATATAAAATTTTTATTTAATTATTTAGTACTAAAGATAAATATTATTTTTAACTATAAATTATTTAAATTTAGATAATAGTATATGTATTTATAGATAAAGGGTTTGGCCTTAAATTTTTAATAATTTATATTCATAATTGTTAATATTTTTAAATTTAATATCTATCAATTAGAGTAAATATATTTAAAAAAAAAATATATATTAATTATATTATAAATAAATGTAATTATTTTATATATTTTTTTTTATGCTGATTTAGTAATCATTATAAATAAATTTTTAAAAATAAATAAAATGATATTTTCGATATATTAGCATATAAAAAAAGAAAATATATATATATATATATATATATATTTATATATATATATATATATTTAAAAATATATTTTTTTTTGTAAATAATTGAGAATTTTCTACATTGATAATAATTAATAAAATATATAAATAATTTGTATTAAAATCATTTTAAAATTATATATGAATTTTATAATTTATGAATAATATATTACCTAAGTTTTAAATTAATATTTTATTGAATAATTTAAATTTAAAAATAAATATCATAGATACAATTATTACTCATAATTATATTATATTTTGAAAATATATGTAAAGAAAATATGGTTATATTTTTATTTTATTTAATATATTTTAAGTTATAAAAAAAATTACATGTATATTATATATTATTATAATTATTATAATTTAAAAAAATATATAAATATATATTAAATAAATAAATATATTAATATATAAATTTATTTTAATATATAATTATAAAAAGATTTATAATAAACTATATATACAATTTTTTTATTTATTTTTATATTTTTTAATTTATTATAACATATTTTTATTTAGTACTTTGTTTTTCTATATATAATTTTTTATTTTTATTATATATAAATTCTTTTTTCTTTTGTATAATTATATATTCTAAAAATTAATACTGAATAAAAATAATTTTATATATCTTTTTTTATTATATTTAAATTATCATTTTTTCTTCTAATAAAATTATAGATATATTAAATATTTTACATTATTTTTTTTTATTGTTTTAATTAAATATAATTTAAGATCTTTAATTTTATTTTTAGCCCATAAATGTTTTTAATTTTTTTTTTTAAGTAATGTTTAATTTTATATATAATATTTTATACTAATATTTTTTTATTTAATTTTATTTTATTTAGATAAAAATAATTTTTTTTTGTCATTTATATTTTAAAAATAAAAATATATATATAAGTATAATTGGCATTATAAAAAAAAATCTTTTTTATTTTTAATAAATATAAAATAATTAAATTATAATTTTATATTTTTAATAATATAATAATTTATTTATATATATCAATAAAATAAAAAACATATTTATAATATATAAAAAATAGTATTTAATATTACATATAAACTAAAAACAAATTAAAAAATCATAAATCAACTTTAATTTTTTTTTTTTCTTAGCTGCTTTGGCTTCTTTTCTTTTCTTAGCTCTTAATTCATCTTCCTATCTTAATTTTTTTTCTCTTTCTATTTATTTTTATCTTTCTTCATCAGCTTTTTTTTATCTTTCTATTCTTTCTTATTATTCTCTTTCTTAATTTTTTTCTTTTATTCGTCATGCATTTTTACATATTTTAAAATATCTTCCATATGTTCATCTAAAATATAAGGATTTTTAGGATCTTAGTAATTGCTTAAATTAGAAGTTTTAAACATATCAGGATGATCTTATGGATTATATCTTTTTTCCTGAATAGATTAAAATACTTAATTTACATTATTATTTGAGTCCAAATAAGCATAACATTCCTCAACATAATCAATTAGTATATAATTTATCAATCTTGATTTTCTCGGTTCTTTTGCTGAATCTATTATATTTGTATATTATTTTCCATATGCCTCTAATTTCTAACGTGCAGTTGCTATACATACTGAATATTTAAGTCTTGCTTCTTATACTATTTCGTTTTACAATTTTTTACGTTCCACTATTTTTTTAAAAAAAATTAATTTAATTTAATATAATATAATATAAAATTTTACAATTTTCATCATCTTATAATGTTTTTATTGTAATTAATGCTAATAATATGAATATGGAAAGTGTTTTCATATTTTTGGTATTTTTTTATTTTTATATAAATAGATAGATATGAATTAATTATTTGTGTATGATTAATAATAAAAAAAACTATAGTTTTAATATAGACAGATTAACATTTGTCAAAATCTAATATTTTTTATAAAAATTATAATTTTTATATATAATAAAGTATAAAAATATATAAATTAAAAAAAAAAATCTAAAAACAAATAATATATTAAATAATTTTATTATTATATTTATTTATTTATCTATTTTTTTTTTTTAAATTAGTTTTTTTAAAAAACTATTGATTTTAATTTTACTTTTTATTATTTTAAAATTTATAAAAATAAAGTAATAACAAAATGTAAAAATAAATTAATTTAACATTATAGTGTTTTTAAGAATTTTTATTTCCACATTGTTTGATGTAATATTTATAAATATAATAGAAAAGGACAATAATTATATTTTTTATTATAAAGATAGTTTTTGTTTATAATTTCAAATTTTATTATCATGATTTTATTTCTTTAGTAAATAATATTAAGATATTCTGATAAATAAAAATTTTTTTCTAAAAAATAAATAATGCTTTATTTATTGTTAATATAGAGTTTATGTATTATTTTATATAATATAATAATTTTATAATTAAATAAAAAACAATTAAAGTTTTTTAATTATGGATTTTGTTCAAAGATTAATAATATTTTTATTTTATATAATATTGGCTTTAAAACATTTATTATTCATATTTAATTTATTACTTTTGTTTAAAAGTTCTCAAATTCTAATAAAAATAAAGCTTAATTAGAAAGATTCATATAAATATATTTTTAGCTTTTCTTATAATTTTTTATACGTCTACTTTAGTATTAAATTTTGTTTATAATTTAAATAAATAAGATAGAATTCTTTGCAAATGTTATATATATTATATAAATATTAATATATAAAAAATAAATATTAAATTTATAAAAAAAAGAATCTATTTTAAGTTATATAAGAATATGCAATTTAATAATTACTATAATATTTATATATCTTGGTAATAAAAACTAATAATTATTTATAACCTTAAAAAAAAAAGGAAAAATACTTCAAAAAAGAATATAATATATAACACAATCAGGAATAGAGAAAAACTCCATATACTAAAATTAAATGAATAATTTATGGTATTCTATAAAATAGCATATAAATTTAAAAAATAAATAAAAGGAGATTAATAAAATGGACTGTTATAGCCTAAATATTTTATTTATTAGGCAGTTTTTATTTATTATATAATCAAATATAATCATGTGCATTTATTCCTTTTGAAAAAGGAAATAAATTAAATTAATATATAGATGGAGTTATAGTTATTTTTTACAGATTTATGTCTTATTATGTATTATTATTAGCTCCACTTTTAGTTTTTTGGTACAAAAAATAAAACAAAATAAAAACGGTAAAAATTAATTTTTTAAAAAATAAACATTAAATAGAGTTTTGAAGATATGAGTTCTTAACTAAATACAGTCCTCTAGTATTAATTTTACTGTCAAGATTTAAGACATAAAGGATAATTTACATGTTCTTCTTTAGATAATAATAATCCTTTTAGAAAATCTAAAGATTCTTTCAGTATTAATAGTTATAAAGTTTAAAATAATATTTAATAAATTGATAAAAGTTTTGAAGATAATAATTAATCAACTTTAAACACACCTTAATGTAGAATTGAATTAAATATTAATTAAAAATAATAATATAAAGATTAATGTAATAATAATAAAACTAATAATTTTAAATGAATTTTTTTTTAATTTTTAAAAAAAGTTATTTATTAATTTATATATACACAATCTTATATTTTTTTTATTAAAATAAAATTAATAAATAATATATATATTTTTATATTCTTTATTCATTATTAAATATTTTAATTTTATTAAACTTTTGATATAAAACTTGAAAATTCTGTTTATAATGCATTTTTGTTAACACTACTATTGTTTACTAACTCAGCTGTATTTAAACTTTATATTTTTTATGATTAATCTTCTGTGTGTTTGGAATTTTCAGTATTATCATCATCATTTAATTAAAAAACATAGTCTTCTTATGATTTTTTATTAAGATGTTTTAAACTTTTCATCTATTATTGTAACAGTTCATTATCAGCAAATAATATAACAGGAGATTTAGAAGAAAACTCTAATGCATATTTTTAAGATGCTTATCTATAACATCTTTAATATTCTCCTTATTAATATTTAATATCTTTAAGATACTGATAATTTCTAATTAATTAAAATAATAAAATATTAACAAAAAATATAATTTTTTACTATGAAAAATTATGCTTAACTAAATTAGAAGCAAAAGCGTTATTTTTTAAATAATTATGATTTGATAAATCGATTATTTTTTTATTTTAAAATAAAGAGTTACAATTTAATGATTTTAAGTTTAAGTTGTTTTCTTGGTTTTTTTCAAGACATTTTTCATAATCTTTTTTCTATTTTTATTTTTTTTTATTTAAAGTAGAATTTATCTATATATTTTTAACTTTATTTTTAAAAAAATATATTATTATATAAAAATTTAAATATTATTATTATATTTATTATTTTACAATTTTTTATTTAAAAAGATTATCTGGATTTTTTATTATCATTTTTTTTTTCTAAATTAAAATTTGAATCAAAAGGTTAATAAATTTAATTCATTTTTTATTATAAATTTTCATTTTTAAGAAAAAGTTTATTATAATTATCTACATTATAAAATTATCTGATATTTTATAATTTATCTTTATTTTATAGCCATTATTTTTCTTATAATTAAAAGAATTTTTTTCTATTTTCTTCTTCTTCTTTTTCTTTTTCTAATTATTGATATATTTATTAAATTTTATCTTATACAGTTAAATTTTATTGATAGTAATAATTTGGTTATTAAGTGATTTCTTCTTCAGATTAATTAATTTCCTATATCAAATATATATATATATATATATATATATATATATATATATATATATATATATATATATATATATATATATATATATATTTATATAATAAATATATACATCAACTTAATTAAGTTTAACTTCAAGATCATTATAATTATTTTAATCGAAATACTTTCCCATTAAATAGTTCATTCTTATTTTATCTTTTTAACCTTAATTAAGTACATCATTTTCAATAATTTCCAAAGAATCAAAAACTAATTCCAAATCATTCATTTTCTAATTAATCCAATTATATGGAAAATACCATTTTTATTATTTATCAAATTAATTTATATTAATTTTTGAATAATATTCCCCTTAAATTGACCAAATTTTGACATTTTTATCATGAGAGCATGAAATAATACACTTAGGTTCATTTATTTTCGTTAATTTATTAATACAAGCCTAATGTCCTACCCATCTTTTTAAAAGAATAGTATTTATAGGATGAATTATGAATTAATTTTATAATTATTTCTTTTCAGACATTATGAGCATATTTTGAGCTGTTTTAGTTACATTAATGAGGTCTTTTCTTCTAATTTGGACATTAAGTTTTTTTTTTTCTTCTATTAAAGGTTAAATTTTTCTGGCTTAAAATATATCAGTAAAATTCCAAATTTAAATAATTCCTTTGAAATCTCCAACATAAACCAGACATTAAAATTATTTATTTTTCTAATTGAAATTTTCCCAATATTTTTCAAAACATTCTTTTGTTTCTTTAATATCATCTTCAGTTTACTCATTTTTTGGGCTTTCAATATTATTATTATTTATATTTTTATTTTTAAGTTATGAAGAAAAAATAAAAGAACCTTTTTTATTATTATTTTCGTCATAAAAAATCTTGATTTTTGAATTTTTCTTCTCTTTACTTCTTTTAATAATAGGATTGAAATTCTCCATATCTAAAGGCAAAAACTCATCTTATGGAATTTCCCTTTTTTAAATATTTTCATAATTAATACAAATACTTGAATAAACACCATATAATTACTCAATACCATTTATAAAATGTGAATTTTAAATCTATATTATTAATCTATATTTATAATTCTAATTACAATTCTTTGAACCCCAAATATATACAAATCCACTAATAGAACTACTCATAATACATGGGTACGAATCTAAAAATTCAATAAGCAAAATTTCTGATTAATCGCCTTTTAATATATTCTCTAATTTTCCATTTTCAAAATCCCATAAAGCAATAGTACCTTATATATAAAATATATATATATATATATATATATATATATATATTATTAAATATATCTATATATATATATATATATATAAATATTGATAAAAAAAATATTACCATTAGCAGCTCCACTTGCTAATATATATTATTTAGAAGAATATGATAGAACCAAGATTTCTGAATCAGAATGACCTCCACTTAATACTTTAACAAGTTCAGATTAATCAGCTTCTGATTCATCATATATTCTAATAGTAGAATCAAAAAAACTTGCCACAAGTAAATTTTCTTCGTGTATAAAAATTATGCATGAAACATCATTATTTTCTTTTTTTTAAATATGATACCTAAATAAAATTTTATTTAATAAATATATATATATATATACATATAAATATATTTATATAAATTTTTAATTATATATATATATACATATATATATATAATTATTTATTTATATATATATTTATATTTTTACTGTTTTTTAGAAAATTCAGAATTATCAATTTCCTTAAAATCATTAACTTATTTAATAATTTCTCCATTTTTCATATTATATTACCTAATTATTCCTGCACTATCCGCCATAAAAAATTTTCTTTACCTTGCCCCAAAGCAAAATAAGCTTAAATCAACTGAACATTTATTTTAGTTCATTTCATTATAAACCTTTTTCAATTTACCCGTTATTGCATCATATAGTCTAATATCTAATTTTGTTAATATAACTATTTCGTTAAAATAAGTATTAAAATCAGCATTTAAAGCAAAAAGGTCATCATTATTATGTTTAAAGTTTTTTTCTTTTCTTAATTCTCTAAATAAGTTAATCTTTTACCCCCCAAAATTATCCTATCATTTTATTTATGGGATACAAATGATATATCAGTAATTAAAATATATGAACCATCAGCAGAAATTACTTATATAGTCTACAGAGTTCTAATATCCCATATTCTAATATTACATTTATCATCTATAGATACTATATTAGGACTATTGGTTATAAATTTACACAATATAACTAAACTAGAATGGCCTTCTAACTTTCCTATATACGCTCTAGTTATAGACATTTTAGGACACCATAGATTTATATACTACTCGAATCCTACAGATATTAAAATTGAACCATATGAATGCTAATAAGCCAATTATCTAATACCTCTAGAATTACTTATAGGATCTCTCAAGTCAGCCAAAAGCCTAGGTTCTTAATCTTAAATATCCCATAAACAAATAAAACCGTCTAAACTGGAAGAAACAATAATTTTAGGTTAGTTTAACTCGCAAACATCTGTAATTTTTTTTGAATGAAATTTAAGTATTTTATCAAATTTAAGTTTATTATGCTTCGAATCTATATATAAATAAGAAGGAATAAAATACCAGGTTTTTAAATTATTTTCTTCATCAGCAGTTATCCATAATTTATGTAAAGGTAAGTACCAGATTCCTGTTTATAAATCGGTTAGTTTGAAAGTTTTTACAAACTTTTAATTTACATTACTATCCCAAAATATAATCTATTTTTTATTAGTAATAGCAGCTATCTAAAAATAATATATATATTAATTAAATAATATATATTCATATATATATATATATATTTATATATATATTTAAACAGTATTAATATCTTCTGCAATAGTAAAATCTATTATAAATGAAGCTCTTTTAATTTTTTCTGGTATATTTAATTAAACTTTATTTTAATTTGAAATTTTTACTCTACAAAAACTATCATACAATTAAATAAAATCTGCACTTTATTCTAAACACAATAAACTATCAATAGAACTCATATAAACAATTTTTTTTATTAAATTTTAATGATTAGAATTATCAAAAAATTTATTCAATATATATTTTTTAGTTGATCTTTAATATGCCTTATCAATTATTTCTGTCTCTGTAACTTCTTTATTTTCCGGTTTTTATTAATCGAAAAACTTCATATCATTTTCCCCTATTACAGCATCTATTATATATTAAGTAAATTCACTCCATTCCATATGTTTATCACCATTTATATCTATATCTTAAAATAGTTTTATTAAACCACATACTAATTCATACTTTTCATCTACAGGGTGTATAATTGCACATTTCATTAACCATATAAAATTCGCTAATTCTATTCCGTCTGGATGTTCGTTAAATTCATCTTCCAATGCGGCTAATTTTTCATTATCTAAAAGCATCATAAGTCTTTTTTTATATATATATTATTTTTTAGGCTTTTTGTTGTTGTTGTAAATAACCTTTCGGCTGTGTATGGATTTTTTTCATAACGTAATAAATGTGGGTGTTCTTTTAAATAATTTATAACGTCTTGGAGTTTTGGCTTGATTTTTTTGATTCTTAATTTAAAATTTTAACGTTAAGATTAGTTCATTTTTAAAAAGTTTTTTAGATAATAAAAGCAGAATTTTTTTATTTGGGAGGAGTTGTTTTATTTAAATATATTTATTTTAATTTTTTTTTTGTATTTTATATAAAACAAAAAAATTATATTATTTTACTTTTCTTAAAAAAAAAATAATAATAAATGGTAAAATAAAAATAAATATGTTAATTTTTTTATTTATTTAATTAAAAAGTCAGCATTCTTTAATTTATAAAGTTTGATAACAGTGCTTTTATTTATAATTTGCACTTGCTCATATATAAGAAGATCAAAACCAGAATATATAAATCCATATACATAGGGGTTAAATATTAATTATATTAAAAATATATGATTAAAATCTTAATTTAAATAAAGATTTAGAGGTTTTTTTAGAAGAGCAGCCGTAATAGGAGATAGATTAAGCCCTTGGGTTACTTTAATGTGTATTATTATGGGATTTTCATGTATTTTTTACAGATGATATTATATAAAATAAAATTATTATGTAATGTTTAAATAACTTTAACTCTAAAAATAATATTATTAAATTTTTAATATAAATATTACATAATTAATCTTTATTTAAATTTATCATTTTTTAATTTTATAATAAAAAAAAATGTAATTTCTTAAACATTATATTTTTAATTGTTTGCATTTTTTCAATTGATGATAAAAAAAAATAAAGATATTTTATGAATATGAATAAAAATAATAAAATAATTTATAAATTTAATTAAATATTATTAATATATATATATATAATTTAAATCAATCTTCAAATTTTAAATCAACACTAGTTTTATTAATATAATTATTTTTATTACTTATAATTTAGGTTTACTTTTTTACACCAAATAATGCTCTATGTTTAAAATTTATCAATTTAGATTTCTCGAATATATTTTTCATTTCATGTCCTAAAAAGTCTATTAATTTTTAATTTAAATTACTATCTTTTTACTAGCAAATTTAATCATATGCTTAATATAATTTTTAGAAAACCTATAGTTTTTTTTACTATTTATTATTTTTGGTTAATGACTATTTAAATCTTGAAGCCGCTTTCATTAAAGTAATTGGTAATTATCTAAATTATCCTTTCATATATTTATTTATTCTAAATTTTTTATCATTAGTTTATTTTGAATTCCTTTTTTTTGATCCTCTTCTTCTTCCACTGCCTAAGCCCTGGAAGGAGCATCATTCTACTTATTAATATCAATAATAGGTTTAGGGAAAAAATTAAATAATATAAGTTACTCTTTATCTAAAAAAAGCCTTTTTAATTTTTCTACTTCTTTTACTTTATCCAAAATATGAAAAATATCTAAATCTTTTTCAATTTATTCTTATGCTTTTTCAATAAGTTAGACTTTTCTTGTTTTACATAGTTTACCACAGGACATTTTATGTACAAAATACTCATAAGTCATTTTTATTTATCTATCTCTTTTTATTATATATTCGAATTCTTTTGAAAGGAATTTTTTTCTCTATTCTTAATCTTTTTCCTCCAGTATTTTGGTGAATATATTATTGTTTATTTCGAATTATTAATTTTAATTATTTTTGATTTCAGTTTAAATCTCATCTTCTTATTAAGTATTTACATTTTAAGAAGTTCTTAACTATTAAGATAGTTTAAAAGTATTTTAATCCAAACAAAAGTTAAATCTTTTCTAATCAATTATTTTCTAAGGCGATAAAATAAAGTTTTTTGTCTCAATAGGATTATCTTTATTTATAACCTTAATTTGCTTTTCTAAAGAAAAATTACTTTAATATTTTTATTTACGTATTTACATTTGTTGGATTTTATTGAAAGACATACTTTTTATTTATTTATTTTCCTTTTATTTTTCTATAGATGAATCCTGAGAAGAGCTAGATTTTTTACTCTAAATTTTATCTTCTTAATATATTTAAATGCCCGGTAAATTCTAAATTTAAGTCAGTCCACTTTAGAATTTATTCAAAGGAGTATTTTACTAATTATTCTACCTTTTTTTAATCATTTTTTAATATAATCAATAGGAAGAAGTCCTTCTTAAAACATCTATTTTTTCAAAATTATTTACTCTTAAATTATTTGAAGTCATTTTATTTGTCTATGTAGTCATAAAAGTTATCACTTTCTAATCTTAAATTAAATTTTCATTATTTTTTTACTTTTTAGATTATAAAATGTTTTTTTATTTACATTACTACTTTTGTTATTATTGAAATTTTTTAATTTTTAAAAAAACCCTGAATGATTTTATTTTCTCTATTTAACTTTATTTTAATTATCATCATCTTCGTTTTAAAAATCATATAATTTATTCGCTAATTCAATTGTATAAATATACTAATTATAATAGCTTACCAAAAAAGCCGAAAAAATTAAAAATGCTTGCGCAAATCCTCCTACATAAGCAATAATTTCGTCCGCTTTCTAAAATCTCCTCGACATATTTTACGTAAGATAACTTCTACTAATATAAATTTCCAAAAAATTCTCATAATCTCCCAAAAAGTTCTACTCCCTAAATCCCCCAACTTCAAAAAAAGGAAACCCCTCTTATTTTATTTCCTGAAATGGTAAAAGACTCTCATCAGTCATTATATTAAAATACGAAAGAAAAATATCCACTATTTTCCTCTATTTTGAAGGCTATAAAAAATAATATATATCCGCTGTATTTAAATAGCCGTTAATATAATTACTAGGCTTATTTCCACTTACAGCATACCCAGGAAGAAAAAGCTCGATTTCAATATCTTATCCTTCTTAGATAAATTTCTAATATTCCTCCTCACTTTTACATATTGGTTTCCATTTTTCCGTTGTGAAATTTGTTGTTTTACATTAATTTATTTTTAAAATTAATTAATCATAATTCTCAAAGCCCCAAGCTCCTCCAATTACGAAATTTTAATTTAATAAAGGACATAAATACCTATTTAATCCTTTACTTTCGAATGCATCTGCCCAACTATAATTATAACTAGGTAAATTTATCCAATGTTCTTTTGTACAAGGTTCTAATGGCAGTTCAAATAATTCATTTTTTTTTTCGTCTCCGTTTTCTTTATATTCTGTATGCTTTGCAATAAAACTTATGTTAAAATATGGATTTGTCATAAACTCTTCATGTATTACTCGAATTGCGAACATAAAATTTTTTTTTGTTAATTCTATGGGCTCTGGGTTTTGATTAAATGAATTATCGACAGTTACTGTAACAGTATCTTTTATGAAAAATTAGATTAAATTGTTCCAAAAAAATATCATCATTAGTGCTAAGAATAAAAATGATATTATGGCACCAAATTAGGTTTAGAAGACATTACTTCGTTGAAAATTTAAACCTACTTCACTTCCAAAAATATCAAATTTTTTAAAAAATTTTTAAATTAAATTTGTCATTTTTATTTTTTTTATATTTGAGAATTTATTTAGAATTTTTTTTGTTTATATATATGTATTTATAATTTTTCCTTTATTATATATTTTTACTCGTAATTATTTTTTTAAAAAAAATTATATTAATTTATCAATTTAAAAAATTAATGATTAAATACAATATTAATAATTACTTAATTATATATAGCAAAAAATATTTTTAAAAAACAGTAAAAAAATATTTAAAAATATATATAAAAATAAAATAAAAAAATAAACGAATTATTTATTTTTTTAAATTAAAAATTAAATAATAAAAAAAAAAACATTATTGAAATAAAAATTAATTCAACTTCTCAAATAATATACGTTCATAATCACTAAAGCAATTTGAATTACAATAACAATGTAAAATAGAGATAAGTATTTCTTTTCTTAAGTGACTTATCCTATATAATTTTAGAAATTTTAAAAGTTCATAGATTACTATTAACTTTTGTTCTATATAGTTTCATTCATTTTTTTAATTCTTCGATTTCTTCCTAATATTTAGATATTTATCCTTTATCAATTTATTCGTTATTATATTTTAATTATTTTGAATTATTTTCAAACTGTTTATGTAAATTCTCATTTTCGTTTTACAAAACTTTAACTTATTATTCTAAACTGGAAATTTTTTGATTCTAAGAAATAATATTTTATTAAAGTTACTAGTTTTATTTAACCATTTCATTACTGTTATTAGAAAATTGATTTTCGAGTTAAATTTTATCATTTTTTAAACTTTGTAATAACATATTTAGATTTTAAATTTCTTCAAATTATAACCTTTTGCTATTTTCAAGTCCTTAGATATTATTATTTAAATTATTAATAGTCATTTAAAATTAAGAAATTTCTTTATTGAAAGCTTATTATTATGAATTTGCTTAATTAAATTATAATTAATCAGATTCTATTTTTTATAAAAGATTTTATTTTTCATTTTATAATTCCTATATGGTTTTTTACAAGTTCAAATTTTAACTTTGAGAAATATTTAAAGAATTTATTTTTTCGTTTAATACTTCATTTATTTATTTTAATTCTTTTATTTATTTTTGACTTTCTTCTAAGCTTTTATTTTTCAAGTTTTCACTTTTTTCGATTTCATTAGAAATTTAAACATTATTTAATTTCTATTCTACTATTTATTTATTTAATATATTTATTTTTTATTAAAATTCATTTATTTTTTATTCTAATTCTTTATTTTTATCTTAATATTAGTTTATTTCTGTATTTACATTTGAATGATTTTCATGAAGATTTTGTTATAATTATTAAATAATTTTTAATTAATTTTAAGTTTATTATTCATTTTCTTATAAGCTTTTTTCTATATTTTATTTTTCTGATTAAAATTAGTTTATTTATTATGTTAAATTTTCAATTTTTTCTTAAAGACTTATTTCCTTTTCTTACATTTTCAGTTATTAGTTTTTAAAATTTTCATTTAATTAAGAGTTTTATAACTATATTTTTTCTAAATCAATCTAATATTATTTTTTTTTTTCTTAAATATTTTTTTTTTCTTCTTATAATTAATTAACTTTATTTTATAAAGAATTTTCTTATTCAGACTAATTTAATTAATAATTTTAAATTTGATGATTTAAAATTTAAATATTTTCTTATTATTTTTAAACGATATTTTTTTATTCTTCAATTTATAAAATTAATTAATCTTTTTAAGAATTTACTTAATCAATTTCTTTTTGTAAATTTTAACTATTTTAGTTAGTGTTTTCGATTTATTTTGTTAGAGAATCAATTTAGTTTAAATAATTTTAAATTTAAGAGCTTATTTATTATTCTTTATCTTGATTTTATTAAATGATTATTTAGAAATCGTTTACTGTAATATTTATTTAATTAATTTCTTATTTTAGATTAATTATTATTTAATTTAATTCTTGAATTTTATTTTCTAGTTCTTTTTTTTCTTTATTTAAATTTTCAACTTCTTCAGTTTATTATTAATTACATTTTTCTTAATTTTCTTGTATTTTTTTTACAAAATTTTATTTTCGTCTTATAATGAATTTACTTTAGAATCTTTTTAATGTATTTATTATTCTAAAAGACTAATTTTCTCTTCTAAAGTTTAATTCTAGTGACTGTTTTTTTCAATTAGTTCTTTTATTTATAAATTAAATTATTAAATTTTCTATTAATGTTCTTATTCTTATTATTAATTTTAAGTAGATTATTAATTTTTAACTTATTCTAGTTTTTCATTTAATTACTTTTCTAATTCTTCTTATTATTAATTTTTTAAATTTTAAATATCATTTTCGAATTTTAATTTTAGATTTTCTTAATTTTAATTTAGTAATTTTATTTAATTTTCTTTTTCAGAATTTTCATTTTATTTTTATTAAATTTCGTTTTTTAATTTACTATTTTCTTCTTTTTATTTTTGTATTCTATAATTAAATTCTTCCTCTTTTTTTTCTTAGATTTCTTTCAAATCTTTCAATTCTTATTTTTTTCCTTTAAGTTTTAATATCTTCTTTTCTAAATTTTCATCTTTTTCTTTTATTTTTTCATCTTTTTCTCTTATTTTTTCTTCTTCTTCTTTTATTTTTTCTTCAGTTTCTTTTATTTTTTCATTCATTTTTTCTTCTTTTTCTTTCATTTTATCGTCTTTTTCTTTATTCTAATTTTAAATTTCTATTAATTATTATTTAATCTACTCATTTTCTTATAATTTTATTTCTAATAATTTTTAGGCTTCTTCTTTTTCCTTATCTATTAATTATACACTAGTTTAATATTCTTCATTCATTTATTCTGTTTAAGCCCTTAATTATTCAAGCTCTTATTAAAGTTCGATTATTAAATTTTCCTATTCATCTATTTTTGTTTGTTTTTTATCATTTTATTCTTGGAGTTTTTTTATATTTTCATCATATTTATATTCGAACATTTTTGCTTAGTCATCATATTCCTGTCTAAGTTTTAAGTATTCTTCATTTTTTTAAGTTAAGTTATTTTAAAGGATTTATATATCATCAGACATTTTTTTTTTTTTTTCTTTTTAATATTATATGTATATATTTAATTTTTTTTTTTTTTTACCTCACTAACTTTTATGTTATTATAATTAAAATTCAATTTTAAATTTTTTTTAAATTAAATATCTTTTTAACTAAAAGTAGTAAAAAGGAATTTAATTTTAAATTATTATAAATTATTATATTATATAAAATTTATATCATATAATTAATTTTATAATTCCTATAAATGTATTTATTAATGTTTAATTATTAAAACTAAATGTAATATTATAACTAAATTAACTACTTAAAAATATTTTTATTTATATTATATGTCTAAAATATTTTTTTTTAATATTTTATAATTATTAAAATTATTTTTACAAATATAATCTTATTCTTTGAATATTAATACAATTAGCACTATTATTAAAAATAATTTTTTTTTTTTAAAAAAAAATAGAAATTTAATTAATTTTTATTTTTCTCTCATATTTAATAATAAAATATTTGTATTTTTTTTTAATAAGTGTGTTATATAATCTATTTTATATCTAAAAGATATGTTTTTTATTAAAAGGATATTAATTAAAAAAAAAAATATAATAAGATTATATTAAAAAAAAAATAGAAAATATTATAAATAACTTTAAAAAAATTTATAATTTTAATTAATATGAAAATAAATAAGTTCGATTTTATAATTTTAAATAATTGCGAATAAAGAATATTATATATAAATAGCTATACTATTTTATATATTATTAAATAAATATTTATAAACAATATTTATCTAAATTTAAATGAAATTATTAAAACTTATAATAAAACTAATTAAAATTTATATTAGATATTTTCAAATTTTAAATATTAAAATATTAATATAAATTAATTAATTAAAAAATAAAAATTATTAATACAAATAATATTATTTTCAAACAAAAAAATATACAACTTACATAAAAATTAATTTTTTTATTTAATAAAAATAAAAAAAATATATATATTAAAAAATTAATATTCTGATTTTAAAAATTAATAAATATTATAATTTTATAAATTAGATAATGATTAAATATAATTTAGAAAAAAAATATCCTCTTAATTATTTTAATTCAACCTTAAACAAAGTAGACTTTGATTCTTTTGGTTAAAATAAATGGTTAACATCGGAATGCATAAATTTTTATTTTTAGTATATAATCCATTAATTATATCCTTAATTAGAAAACAAATTATTATTATTAGATCCTTCCTGTTACTAATTAATTTTATTCGAAAATGATTTTCAAGATCTAGTTTCTTCTTTAAAAAATGTTTAAATAAATTAATATAAATACATATTTACTGCAATAAATGACAGCTAAGATATAACATAAGGATTTTCCGGTATTATTAAATTTTAAAGAAAAAAGTAAATAATTAAAATTAATAATTTTAATAGGTAGTCATTGGGCTTTACTTATATATAATTCAGAAAAAGATAATTTTTTATATTTTGATAGTGCAAATTCAATAATAAATAATTCATAAAAAATGGCTTAAAAAATTAGGGCTTTATATTTTAATGACGAAAAACTTTTGAAAGAAAAAGTTAATTTTATTTAATATGATGGACCAAAATAAAAAATATAGCTATGATTGTGGTATGTATGTTATTTGTACAGTTGAAATTTTAGTTTAAGCTATTTCGTAAAATAAAGATTTATTGTAATAAAAAATTGATTTTTAATCTGAATATGTTAATGAGAAAAGAAAAAATATATAAAATTTAATTTTAGAATTTTTATGAAAAATTGTATAATAAAAATATATTTATATTATTCAAATTTATATTTAATTTTTTTTTTTATAAAAAATAATTTTATAACATTTCCAAAATTTATAAATATAATGCATTGAAATATAATTCTATATAAAATAAAATATTAGAGTTAAAAAATATTTTAAATAAAATTATTTTTTATATATATTATTAAATTAATAGCTTTAAAGTATCAACTTTTTTTTTTAATTATACTTAGAATTTAATATATAAATAAATTTATTAATTTAGTCTTATATTTTTTAAAATAAAATATTTATCATAAATTTATTCATATTATTTATTTTTTTAAAAATATATTGTTAATATATGACATATATGTTAACATTTTTAATTTAATAAAATTAAAAAATGAATAAAATATTTTTATTTTTTTTAGATTTATTATTATAAAAACTATTATTATTTTTATTACTATGTATATATATATATAAAAATTCTTTTATATAATACAAAAATAAATAAAAAAATAATTTTATAAATATTTTGCTTTATAATATATAATTTAAAAAAAAAAATTACAAATTTTGTATTTTTATTTTTTAATTTTTATAATAAATAAAAATATATTATTATAATAAACAAAAAAAATTATCAAAAGTTTCATAAAAAACAAATTTTTAATAATTTAAAAATATAAAAATAATTAATTATAATATATTTCAACAAATTTATTTAAAAAATATATAAATTTTTAATAATATTATAAAAAAAAAAAAAAAAATTAAATAGAAATAAAAAAATCAATATATATTATCTAATAAAAACAATAAATATTAAAAATTATAGAAAATAAAAAAATAAGAATTTAAATAAAATACATTAAATAAAATAAAAAAAAATAATATAAAATATAAAAAAATATAAAAAATAAAAAATAGAAAATAATTAAAAATCAAATATAATAAAATAAAAAAATTAAAATAAAATATAATAATTTAATTTAATTTAATTTAATTTAATTTAATTTAATTTAATTTAATTAATTAATTTTATTTAATTAATTTTATTTAATTAATTTTATTTAATTAATTTTATTTATTTATATTTTTTTTATTTCTTTTATATTTTGTTATTTATATTAATAACTTAATTTATGATTATTAATTATAAATGTATTATATTATAAATATTATTTTATTTTTTTCTAATCTTTTATATTATATATAAAATATTAATAATAAAATATTAATAATTATTCTTAATTAATTTCTAATAATAAATCTTATATTTTTTTTTGTTTTTTTTGTTTTTTTTTTATTTACTTTTAAAAATTACAATTATTTGTAATCTTTTGCATAATTAAAACTATTTTTTTTAAATAAAAAGCTATTATATTGCCTGATTACTAAAAAATAAAATAAAAAATAACACATGTATTTTTTTTTTAATTAAATAAATAAAAAAGGGTATATATATTTTTTATATCTTTAAATTTATTTGTTTTATAATATATATCAAAAAAATTAAATAATCTTTATAAAATCAAAATTTTATTAATTATATTATATTAAATTGATTTTTTTTTTTATTAAAATTATAAAACTCGATTATTTTATATATTTTTATAAAATTTAATTAAATAATTGTATTAAAAAATAATAATTTTAATTACTAAAATAAAACTTATTATTATTCTTATATAGTTATAAAATAATTTTAATCCATTTTTTTAAAAATAGAAAATATATATTTAATTTTTATAAAAAATCTTAATTTAAATTTATTTATATAAATTCTTTTATTAAATAATATTTATTAATTTTTTAAAATTATATTTTATTAATGCGCTATAATTTATTTATTTTTTCATATATTCACTAAAATTATTAATGATGTATCAATATAATTAATTAATACTGCTTATATATATAAATAAATTTTAAATTTCTATAATTTTTACACAAAAAATAAATTCTATTAGTAAAATAAAATATAAAATAAAAATTAATTTTTAATTGTATATAATAAAAATATAATAAATTATTAAAATAAAATTAATATTAATTAAAAATAAAAATAAAAATTATGCAAAAAACATTACTTTTATCTGTTATAGCTTTATTCGGTATTTCTTCAGTCTTATTTTTCTTCACTCATCATTAATAAGAAACAAATATTAATAAAGATACCTAATTCTAATAATGGCTTTAAAAATACAACGTGAAATTAGCTGGAGAAGACTTCACTTACAGAAGACAAGTTTTCTTTGAAAACCTTGAAAAAATCTCTAAAAACAATTCAGAAGACAATGGAACTACTTAAGAAGCAAATTAATTTGCAATTTTAACTTCTTCTGAATTTAATTAAATGTATAAAGGATTAAAAAGATAATAAAATAATATTTAAAACTTAAAATTATAAATAGTTGATGAAACTGCTCCTCTTCCAGCTTCTATTGATTGGAGAAAAAAGAAGGCCGTAAACCCTGTAAAAGATTAAGGATAATGTGGTTCATGCTGGGCTTTTTCAGCTGTCGGAGGATTAGAAGGTGCCTACGCTATTGCTAATAAAAAACTCGTCTCATTCTCTGAACAATAAATAGTCGATTGTTCAAAAAATGGTGGTAATTCTGGTTGTAATGGAGGTGATTTACCCCCTGCTTACGACTATGCTGTCGAAAAAGGTATATAAACTGAAGCCTCTTACCCTTACACAGCCGTTGACGGAGAGTGCTAATATAATTCAAAAAAAGTAGTATTTAAACCTGAATCTTATACTAAAGTAAAAACTAGAGACCCAATTGCTTTAGCTTAAGCAGTAGCTATTTAACCAGTTCCTGTATGCATTGAAGCTGATGAATCAGCTTTCTAATTCTACAGTGGAGGTATTGTTAAAAAAGGATGTGGATATCAATTAGATCATTGTGTAGTTGTTGTAGGATATACATCAAATGCTTGGATTGTTAGAAACTCTTGGGGAAGCAGTTGGGGAGAAGACGGATATATTAGAATTGCTAGAACTAAATAAAGTGGATAGCCAGGTGTTTGTGGTATCTATGAAGAACCTGTTGTTCCTAATTTTAAAAAATGATTATTTTTTTTAATGGAATTTTATATTTATTTTATTCATGTTTTATTTAAAAAAAAAATATTTTTTAGTTTTTATTATAAATAAAGCTGATTTATATATATATATATTTTAATATTTTTTTTGCTAATTTGTATATAAATTTATTTTATAAATATTGAATAATATCTAATTCAATTTATATTTAATAAAACAAATTATTTTTTAAGTTATTTATTAATAAAAAATAAAATTTATATATTTCTTTTAATTATATAAAATAATCACTATTATTTAAATCATATTATATTATCTAATATATTAAAATATTAATATTAAATTAATTTATTTAATAAAAATTATAAATAGAAAATAAATTTGATATAAAAAATTAATTAATAAATATGTAATACTTTTTTTATATTCCACTTTATTTGAATCAAAATAATAGCAATTAGAAAGCATTTAAGATATTCGGTAATTCAGTTATCTATATAATGATAATAGAGAATAAGCCAAAATATTATTTGATACCTGAAGTACCCATTTATGGGTTCTAACAAAAGATTGCATATAAAAATTTCCTTTATGTCATAATGCGATTTATTTTAATTATAAAATAACAAAACTGCAAAATATGACAGAAGTAAATAAAAAAAATCTAATATGCAAAAGGTTAATATTATGGATTTATAGTTTAGGATAGGATATTTTTCAAGAAAATTCTATAAAAAAAAAATTATTGTTTGCTTATGTGGATAAAGATTTAGATCGAATTTGTCTTCTGAAATTTTTAAAATTTTACTTATTTACTTTTTATGAAATTAGATAAGATAGGTCTAATTTTTTAGGCTTTTATTTAGATAGGAAAAAAAAAAAATGAGTTAGCTGTAAAAGAGCTTTTAATAGATAGTGGAACTTCCGTTATTTTGTTAAATGAAAATCTATATAAGTATTTATAAAAAATTATATAATGAATTTTTGCGAAATTTTAGGGGAGAATCTATCTTGTCTGTGCATGTAATTTTTAAATATAGACTTTCCTGATCT